AAACTGATGTAATGACCTGTCACCGTTCCTGAGCTTATGTAGCCTTCAGCCTTGCTTTTCTTAGCAGGTCTTGGTTTTTTTAGGCCGACAACAATCAAACCTGCAGCAGAGATAGCGCCCAATATTGACGTCGTGTTTGCTCTCGTTGTTGGTCGAGTGACAATAGCACGAGTACCTTTTTTGGACCAAGCTCTAGAGAGTTTCATATTTGTATCAAATGCAGACTCATCAAGAAACACGCAATTCGTCAGAAAATCCGTGTCTGTAATTTCCCATTTACAAACCCATTTCTGCCGTTCCTCAATCTTTGCTGGACTGTTTCTTTCGATTAGAATGGGAGTCAGCTTTCTTCAACGAAAGGTTGCATATGTCTCTCATGAAATTATTAACCGTGCTACGTGAAACTTTGAGATCTTGGGACATCAGACGAAGACTCATTAGAGGCTGCATTTCTCAAGTATTCACTATGAGTCGCAATCGCCTCAGCAACAAACTCATCCTGATCAACGATATACTCCATAGGTTCAGGACCGCCATTCTCATCAACGACATTTCCATGCGCGTCTTCAAATAAGAATATTGTACTCATATTAAAATGTAAAGAATTGTATGAAAAAGAAAAAAAAAAGTCATGCATCAGTTTCTTTCGGGTTTCAAAAGAAGCATAATACTAGGTCGTCTGATGTCACATATCCAGGCCCATCATCGTCAAAGAAGAAAAAAGATATATGGAACGTTAGCCATGTGTGCTCTACAAGAATATATCAAAATAGCGCCCTAGCATTATCGATCAAGAAGGGTTTATATTTTATTTTAGATTACAGTTTTCTTTAATAGGGTATCGATTGGTATGTTCTATAGATATTATTATTTGATGGCTTGGGGGGTTTTTTTTAGAAAGTTGCATGCAAAGAGGATATGATGGAGGAGCAAGTACGGGTAAATACAAAGATGATGTTAGTCGAGCAAATCAATAGCACCTTGGAATAATAGACATGCAACCATGATACCCAGCATGGCCAATCCGTCCAAATCGTCGTATGTTGTTGCCGTCAATGCGAAAAACACCACTCCGTTCAATACACGGACCGTACAGATAATGCCCGACCATCTCGCTGTTTATTGACAATGTATTGGTTATGAACATGCATGGTATATGTTATTTAGAAATGCAAAAGTGACTTGGGATTTACGTTACCTCCTGAAACAGGTGTATTGATCAACTTGATGATGGCATTGAGAACTAGAATAAGGCCGCCAGAAACCCAAAAGGACTTGTATACATAAGATGGATCAACGTGGCTTGATGCTTCTCCACCTTCATCAGCAGCGGCAGCAGCAACCACAGCCATCTTGTTGGTCCACGTTGACACCATATGGGCCGCAGTTGCAGTAGCAGATTCCAGACTTCCTGCACCGCCTTCGGCATAAATGGTGATTGCGTCAGTCAAGGCAATACCAAAAGCGACTTGACACAAATGGAGCGGGAAATGCAGGTACATCCACAACTGGCTCATTTTGACTTGACCCGACAAGACTTCCTTGCTAAAGTCGTCAAAGTACATGAAGAAGAACAAAAAGATGATGACCAGACCAAACATATTTGCCACCCTAGAAAAGGAAATATATTTTGTTGTCAGTGGGGCGTGTTACCATGGTGACAAATGAAGCTACTTACACGACTCGGACTTCAGTACCCGATTCCATGACGGCACGTATAAAGCCCATGCAATTTTCACCCAACACAACCAGCGTAAACAGAGCGAACCGTTCACCCAGATGGCTTGCAGCCAAGGAGACTTGCTTGTGGCTCTTGAGATAGATATGCACGACGACTTCCAAAAAGATCGAAATGTACCACAATGCAAACCTCGCGCCACGATTGTCCGTGTACAGCAGTGACACGCCCCACAAGACCAGAGCAATCGCATGCACAATTACATAGCCGGCCAATGGTCTTTTTGCAAAGGATCCAGACATTGTCGCCGCCCATAAAACAACGCTGTATTCGATCAATAGCACAGCTTTCATCACTAAAGAAAAAGAATTTTCCATGATATATAAATGGATGAGTTATTTTTTACAGATTAGGAAAAATGCCTAGTGTTTTCTGTTGCTGTGTTACACAGGGTATAGAGAGAGAAGGAACTTACCCATGTAACCAACGATAAATCCAAATGGATTGTCCCAAAAGTTAGCACTGGAACCTGCCATGCCGACCAAGCCGCACAACTCAATGATCTTGTAGATGTGATGCATCACATCACCGGTCTCGTAGCGCGAAGAATACAATGCACCGGCACACCAGGTCCACCAGACGACGACGAACCAAGAAGCATACAGACCGAGTTGCTGCTGATCCACAATGTGATGCTCGTGGGTGAACGTGGCCAAAAAGCCAACGTAAAACACATCTCCAAACAACTCGAGCCATGTCGCCGACGTTTCTTCACCAATCTCGTCGGATAGATCAGGGTCGGGTAGCAAAAAGATTGGGCGACGGCTGGGTCCTTCTGCGTCGAGTTCGTCTTCCGATGGCCAGTAGCGCTTGACCTCAATAAACACATTGTCGTTCAATTCAATGATCATGTCGTCGCCGTTCATGGTTGCTACAGGTTTTGGCTGTGTCAATGGAGCGGCTTCCTTGTTGTCGGCCGATCCAGGCGAATCGATAGGCGATTTTTTCGTTTTCTTTTCGTTGTTCTTGTTGCTGTTTTGCGTTTCATCTCGATCTTGTTCATCTTCGCTTGATGATGATGAGCTACTACTGCTTGTGTCGTCATCACCCTCACCTGAAAGTTTCTCTGTATAATATATATCTTTTTAATCAGTTGGATTGAACAAGCCGATTGCACAACAAGGGACTTACTCTTTCGATTCACGGTCTTGTGGATCTTTAAAGAATAGTCACGACCACTTTTATGGAAAAACTCAATCAGCTCATCCGTATCGTGGACCTGATAGAGCTTCAAGATCTCGTCGTCGGTCAACTCGAGCTATACAGCATGGATTGTTAGAGACGGAAAGAAAAGGGCCAGGAATAATAAGGTTCTTCTTTTCCATATCCATATTAGCAAACATTGGTTTTTATTTACCGGCTCCTTCAGATGATCGACCATGGCTTTGGTGATACGAATTTGTTGGTCACCGCCCATGAGATGCCGTAAATGGATCACTGCCACATTCCGAGAATGAGTTATTATTATTGCAACATTTCTTCTTTCATCCACAAAGCTTTAACTCACTTGTTCGGATGAATGGTCTCCTATAGATACATATATCAGTTAGTGTTTTTAATAAAAAGCCACTTATTTTCACACTTACGGTGCTTCCAGGGCTGCTCCTGGCACGATGGGCGTATCACTCGCCTTTTCAGGATCATGCTGCTGCTCCCAAACCTTTTTGTCTTCCTGGTACTCATGCACGCGTTGTCGATGTAGCTCATACTCCTTGATAGGATGTAGCATCACATCACCAAATGTTTCATGTCCATGCCGACGATGCGGCTGGTATCCAGAGGATGACACGGGTCGACGATGCAGTGACGACGAATGATGGGTCACTGAGGATTGTCTTGAGGGAGGTCGGCTCAAGTTGTGATGACGTACTTCAACGAACTCCTCACCATCCTGTTGTTGCTGTCCTGCTTGTTGTTCTAATTCGATACCATCTTGTCTCAAAGACGGACGGCTCCCGTTAGATCTGTGTCGAACATGATGATGATGATGGTTATGCTGTTGTTGACGGCCAATGGTTAATCCGCGACCAAAGGCTTGTGAAGCCATCGTTGGGTTATTAGATAAATAAAAGGGGTAAAAAGAAGAGAGAGAGAAAGAGAGAAACTTTAGAAGCAAGGGAAAACGGATTCGTTTTGGAGGCGATGAACCAAAACTGTTATGTTTTTTAGGTTACAGTAGCGGGGGCGTACCGAAACGGAGCATCAAGTTACCCACATCAGTAAATCCCGACTTATCTTTTTATTATTATTTTTTACGAAACGAGGCTTGACTGTTGTATTACATACACACTCTAGTGACCACCCTGCTGTCGTCCATTTATTGGGGATTGCTTGATTGTAGTAAAAAGCGCATGGTCCTTGCTGGTCTCCCAGTCCACGCAGTTTTGGGGGCTGTGGGACGCTGTACGATTTGTCAAAAGCGAATTGTTTATATCCTCAAGTAGGCAAATAAGAATAGCACCATTTATAGTTCATTTCTTTCATTTCAAAGGGTGTGTGTGTTGAAAGAATCCCTATAAAAACCCGGGAATAGAAAAACACTACATGTCGGGATTAGATGATCACCATGACTACTAAGCTGCCGTCATTGTTTCTTTGTGTGTGTGTGTGTGTGTGTGTTCACCATGCTCTATATGCAACCGGGGCAAAACCCACGTCAGTGACGACGATCTCTTTCTTCATCCAAAAGAGGAGCTGCCCCCTGGCACCCGGTCCCCCGCGGGTTATTTTATCTCATCAAGTACTTGTGTACCTGCGTACCTGGGATTTACCAGACGTTGCCAAGCCAAAACAAAAAAAAAGACTTTTTTCTTTGTGTCACGTTTGCTACCATGGTAACGCCGCATAAGCTCGCACACTTTCCTTAATAACTTGAACACACGCTGGAGGACAACTTGGGGTTTATGTCATGCACTTACTGCTTTCACTGCTACTAATACTACCTACTACGAGTCTCTTCTTGCCTTTGTTACAATGTCCTTTCGAAATTGTCATTCTTCAAGATGACTCATTGGCAGCAGCAAACTGAACACTTGATCTCTCCCCCAATAATAACGAGAGAAGCCTTTTGACATTAGAGGTATTCATTCCATGGCGACAATACATGGTGTTACCTGTTGCTGGTTACCACAACAACAAGAGAGTTTTTAAAGAGTCGCCTCGGCAAAATGTCGGGTTATGTGCGCCACACGTCTCACAGACTTCTCCTCATAGTTTCATGTTAATCTTCACACGCCGGTGACCAGTCTCCTCTTTTATGCCAACAGAAGCTACCCCTTTGCACCCACTTTTGATCATCCCAATGCACGGTTATTTCACGCGCCGGCATCGTATTGTTGGTGAAGATACTGATACTGCTGCACCTGCAACGAAAGACGTAGAAAAAAAGCATCATCAGCTCCAAATTTAGCTACTACTACCATTACTACCATTACTACTACTACTGTTATTATGGAAGGAGAATCCAAGAAGAAGAAGAAGAAGAAGAAACAAGGGGACCCAACCAGAAATTTTGACCTGGAAAAGGTGCAACAGGCTGTCATACAAATTCATAAATATGGAAGACCACAAGGAGAGCAGCTGAAGACTACGGCTTACGGCCTAGTACTCTAAAACGCTATTTGCAACGCTATAAACGCACTGGTTCTATTCAGCCGCAAAAGAGCGGACGAAAGATTCTTCCCCTGCCACTGTCGATCTTTGTGTGACAAGTGAGCCACTATACTACCTTTTTTTGAGGCACCATATACACTACTATCTCTATATATTTTGGAAATGAAGCCATATACAAAATGTGGAAACCATGCGTTTAACAAGAGAAAAGACCCATCTTGGAGTAATCCGTATGATGTCTCTTTTAGTTTCCATTTACAAAGTGTTCAGGTGGGCTTGTGAAGCTGTGAAAATAAGCTCAGCTGCTAGGTTGCACCTATAAACCTAGTTTGGTATGTACAAGGCGATCCACAAAATCAAGCAGTTCAAATTTTGCGCGGGAGAGTCCGTACTAACGTTTATAAATGAAAAAATTATTATTCACTCCTAACTCTCTGATATAAGAATCATCACTGGGCGATCTTGGCGTTGTGCAATTATAACAAGCAGAGTTTTATTGTCTGCCAAAAAAAAACATTAGACAGCTACCACACGATGTGGATGAGAATTGCAAGGAGCAAGTGGATGGGTTGAAGGTTCGATATTATGCTCTTCAATGAAACAAAAAAAAGGGAAGGAACTGTCTTTCAAATTTCATCAATGAACGAAGGGGGCGTCACTATCATGGCTGTACACTACGGTTAGTCAACAATAGATCCAACGATTGGGCTTTTTGCAATATGATCAATAGTATCAATACTGAGCATCTTCAATGAATACCGTAAGTCCGTTTTGGACGCCTTTGGATGCATTTGCGGTCACTTGAACGCATCTTGAACGGCATTCATATGCATGTAAAAGCGCTTTCTACATACCAAAACGTTGTGCAGGAGCATGCCCCACACGCACAACACACGCACAAAAACCGCAAACTCTATCCAAATCACACCAGTTACTTGAAAAACGGTGTCAATCGGCCACAAAAGCGTTCAGAAACGTACTGTTATTATACACTCTTGCAAACCCCCTTACCACCAAATGGTATTTGGAAGATCTGGCTGATTCCCATGGATGAAACCAAACGTTAAAGAAAACTACCTTGGTACACACTCTCTCTGTGTGTGTGCGCGATCAATTTATTGCCACTTAAATATTCAAGAAAGCGAGATAACCATATGTATCCTCACCATTATAGTGTTTACTTGTGCAATAAATTTGGGCGTTGTTACGCAAAAAGTCTCTTCAAGAACTTCGGCGATATGACAAACAGCCAAAGAGGATGGAATCGACGGCAACAATACAAGATAATCTACTTGAAGTCTTGTAGGTCCAATAAAAACGACAGCGTGGCCAAATTCCATATCTAATTCAATGATGCTCTACATTTTTTGAAAAGAAAAACACAATTGCCCCGATTCCACTGCAATCTAGGAGAGGCAAGGTAAAGTCAATGACGAAATCTATTGTTTTCCAAGGAAATCGAGAACGACGTCTATTTCTGCCTCTCAGACCTCCATAATAACACTAGGACGGGGTCTTAATTAAAGTCGATCCGTTGTTGTTGTTCTCGTCTGGCTCGGTTGTATAAATTACCAAGGTTTCGGGTACGATAACAAAGGTTGTTGTTACGGCAACGGGGAAATCCAGGCAACAACACAAACCAACTTTATTCCGGCAAAAAAGTGGGCGGATCCTGACAACTGAGAGCGCACGGACGAACTGGGAAAGAAGAAATGAACCGATCACTCTCTCAGCCAATGAAAAATTTCGCTGATTTCGAGTAACGAAAAATGTCATGCCACGACGACGATACTTTTTGGGTGGTGGTGTGATCTCTCTCTCGCTCGCTCTCTCTCTTTATGTGCAGAGAGACCGAGTGGATGTATGTTTCAAAAACATATCGAACGATGTTTTTTCTATTAGTCAGAGGCCATTCTATATATAAAGGGAGATGATCATTTTACTGTCGAGATATATCCATCATCAACTACCACACCAACAACCTTTTCTTTTCCTCTCACTGTGATCAATACCATGTACGGCGTTGCCCATTTCCTCAAGAACTCCAAGAAGCCGGAAATCATTCCGATTGTTGTCATTCTCGGCGGTGCTTTGTCCGGTGCTGTCTACATGAGTGTGCGTCAAGCCAGGGCTCCCGATGTGGCATGGTAAGTCTGTAGAGGTAGCACTGTAGTGGTGGTAAATGAAATGCATGTCTTTACAAAGAGAGACTAACGTTTTTTCTCTCCAACAGGGACCACAAGAACAACCCTTACCCGTGGCAAGATATCAAGGAGGGCGAGCAGGTCAAGCTGTTTGCTCTGAACCAAAAGTACGACGGTAGATGGGAACGCACCAAGTGGTAAACAACAACAGCAGACTTTAGACGCACTTATCGTTTTGTTCTCTTTCTTTGATCTCCTCTATTTCGACTACTGTATTATCCTTATCTTTACTACCCTAAACAACACAATCTTCTTAACATCTACTACCACTGCTGAATAACTTAATCCCCATTGCCACAAACATCCCAAATGTATCATCATATCCTCTTTCCTTGTATAAAAAGAAACCACCCCTCCACTACAAACATTCTTTTGTTGTATAATAAAAAAAAACAAATATTACTATTTCTTGAACAAATCAAAGAACGTGCGACTCTCCAAATTGTTCGAAGCCTTAAGATCCATGACCCACATGGCCGCGCCGATATGGTTGGTATACGAGAACACAAAACCAGCAAAGGGAATCATTTCCAAGACACTAGCCACCACGCCAAACTGATGATATTGCCAGAACGCCTGTTCAATCTGTCTCTGACGCCGAGCTGCCGTCCACTCATACAAGTCAAAGTACCGCTTATGCGTCTGTCCTCCCCGCGTCAATCCTTGGATCCCAATAAACGCAACCGGTCCTATTACGGGTATCAAATTCAACGGTAACGAGACCAAGAACAAGACGGGCTTGAGAATGAACAACTTCCATGAATCCTCGGATTGGGCATACAGCGTCATGATGTGGACGGGCGATAAGAGTTTGTGTGCCTTGGCTTTCGCATCCTCCATATCCTTGGGTACTATTTCCTTTTTCACGTTTTCGACTGCCACATTTAATGACTCGACTAAAGCTTCCGGTCGTTGTACCTCGTTTTTTTCCTCCTCCTTTTTGTTCTTCTTGGGTGCAGGTAACGCGTTGTGTTCGGCAAGGATGGCATCAAAGAACCGGTCCCGGACAGAGCCCACAAAATGGTCGCCCAACTTGCCCATGATGGCAAACGACTCAACAAACGTCAAGATCGTTGCTGTCAACGCCATACCGGGGCCTAAAAACCATTGCGCTTGGTCTTGCGGTCGTAGCTCGAGGTACAGTTTGGATAAGAGACGCGATTGCGGGCCGAACCCGTATTTCACCAACGGCACAACGGCCAACAAGCTGAGCACGCTCGCCTTGATGGCCGAGGACAGAATGGGGCCGGCCAGGGTTTTGTAATTATGCGCCAAATATAAGAAACCGCGTACTGGGTAAAAGGCTGGCGGAATTGGCTTTTGGCGTGTGTTGCCGGGTGTGAATGCAAACGACATTAGTTATTATTATTTAAAAAAAAAGTAAGAAAAGAGAGAGAGAAAAGTGACTCTCTCTCACTCGTTGGCAGCAGTGGTATTACCAACGGAAGGGTCCCTGACGTTTCGTTTCTGAGAATAGACTTTTACGTTGCACAACATGCTTTCTGACATTGGGCCCCCTCCCGCGTACACCTCATTGCTTTATGCCTCTTTTTCGAGTCAAGACAGTAACCTTTCCTTTTACTTGATACGGCGTCTTCTCGGTTGATAAACATGCTTAAAAAAATCTACAGTTCCTGTCCATGTTGAGAATCGACTAATTATATTTTGATACAATAGCAAAAAAACGCAAAGGGCAGCGAGCTTTAAAGAAACATCGCTTACCATCATTTACGCGTGCTCTGTTTTTTGTTAACGGCATCCATATATATCGAATTCATCCAGACTATTTGAATGATGGTATGCTGTTTAAAAGTCTCAGAATCGCTCGTAATAAGATAGTAAGTTTAACTCACTAATGAACAGGAGAAGAAATGCCTTCCTATTTAAAGACCAGAGTAAAGTGATTTGAGAGAATGATTTTTTACCATCCAAAAGGGTATGTTATTCTTTTCAGTTGATCACTGGTAGAAACTAAGCTTCCGCAAGAGTAAGCAGCGAATTGACTCTGTAAAGTGGCTATATATGCACACACATAAACGAATAAAGAGTTAGAGACCTTTTACTCAAACATCAAGGCGCTCTTTGACATAATTGGGCTCTAGATAGCCATTCGGATTGTATTCTCGTTTGTGCACGAAATAACTAAAAAGACCGGTGGCATTGAGGGAAATGTACATGCGGAACAAAGTCCAGTGATCCATATGTGCTTCCAAGGTTAGTTGCCCAAAGTTCCCAATAATGCTTGCTGTATAAATACAAGTGCGCTGATGCCAATATCAGCTTGACCCCAAAGAGTACAGTACCAGTCTGGTGTTTCTGACTGTGTTTGAGTGATCGGTACATATCATACTTTGCACGTTTGGAATCGAATCAATTGTTAACATGGCGCGGAAACTATGGAACATGTAACAGATGAAAGCATGGTACCGGGAGGAAGAGGTCTTTTTATTAAAAAAAAAGAAAATGCATTCTTTATTTTCAAGTAATGATGTTGGTGTGCTACTAACAACTTGATCTAGTCCTCCAAATGTTAGTAAGTTTGGTCCAAGTAATGATAGTCCCTAGTCTTTTTTTTTCTGTAAGTCTCTCATAATGTCAAATTTCTATTCTAAAGTCCTGGCTCTTTGTAGATTGTGTAGCAGGTCGTATTGCGCATTATGCTTGATACTTTGCTCGTTGTTCTCTTTGGTGCGTTTACATACTAACTTTGATTTCTTTCTTCTGTACAGACGTCGTTCAAGGTGTTTTGTTGTGGATGGATACTTCTTTGATCGAAGTGTAAATGGATTGCTGTGGTGATCCTTGAGATTATTTTGGCGCTGGATGTATTCTTCGGCCTAAACTATTAAGCACCATGGAACTTACGATGTTAAATATTGATGATTAAGACGTAAATATAGCTCTTTTCTCAGTATGCATGGAGTATAACAAATACAATAACACATCCTCCTTTCCAACGGGAAGGTGTCTCAGTCTTTGTGCTCTATTGTTTACACAGATACACATCATAGCGCCAAGCGAGAGCTTTTTCGACGCGCTATAATCAAAGCAGTCTTTCGCATTACTTACGGAAGCTGCTGTTCTCCGCAGTAATAGCATCTTATTTACTGTGAAATTTTATAAACCAAGTTGCACATGTAGACTTAGCCTTATCAAAGGTTTTAACACAATCTTGCACGTCCAGTCAATGATGGGGTTTGCGTCAATGTATCCGCAAATTCAGCATGTAAACAGACAACGTCAAATCTTGTTTTTTACCTAACTTTACTGTTGCTATTGCAACCACTGAGTCCCTTTGTATTTAATGCACTGACCAAGGAAGAAACATAAATTTTGACACGGTGCAGTGCGTGGAAGAGATAAGCAGAGATGCGCATGTGAAACATTCCACGCATACATGTAGGCCTTGCAGGGACGCACGCGCCATAGTGATGTGGATCATTGTTGCCACAGCACTTTATCTATTTCTTTAAGCCAAGAAACATAAAGTTGCTGACGCCCAGCGCCCAGCGGGATTTGAATTGTTTCACTTGGCTTTGAAATGGAGGCGACTTTTTCTTTTTCCCCTTTTCTCTTTCTTCACCAGCGTTACTTATTGTTTTCAAGCATCATGACTGAACTCATCCGAACCGCGTTTGCCAACGCTCCCATCCTACTTGTCCCCTGTATTGTCGCTGTTTATCTTCTTGCAGAATGTCTCAAGCTCGCTTTCTGCTACCCATGGTATGCCTGCTTCGCCCTCGTTATAGGCGTCCTGCTATTAGTTGTCTAGCTGTTTGTTGTTTATAAATTTTGTTATAGTTAATAAGCCTGTCCTAACCGGTATAGCCATTAATGGCTGATATAATTTTAATCAGAATCATCACTATCTGCATCTTCACTTCCATTTTCATCTGTATATATCTGACTATATTCAATGATTAACTTCTGCATTTGCTCTTGACGTATTTGCATAATATCATTTCTATTTGTTTCTTTTGCTATTATTAAATCAATATAATATCTAAAGTATGAATTAAAGAACCTTTTATACTTATATTTTTCCTTTTCAGGTTTTAAAATAAGTTCATCAATAAAACTACAATTATAAGTATCATTTAATTTATCCATACAGGGCTTACATGCAATCATACACATATATTCACCCCCACCTTATTCACATTCATCATTATCAGTATCACCCTGTGAGGCATCTGCACTAGAGGTGTTTTCTAACATTGCATCAGAAATATGAGGATTTGAGGATTGCTGAGAATTTGAATTTTCAGTATATGTTTCTTTTGTCTGTGTATTTGAAATATGAGGAATTTCAAATTGCTGAGAATTTAAATTTTTGGCAACTATTTCTTTTGGAGGTAATGTATCGGGGTTTTCATAGTATTTCTCATATTTATGTAATTTTTCCTTTAGTTTTATATTTTCCGTTAATGTTTTCTCTTTACTTTTTTTTTAGAAATAATATCTCTTTCAATATTCGCTTTATTTTAAATTATTTTTAGATGTCTCTTTTTGTTTTTTCGATGCTTTACATTTAATTAATAATTTATTCTTTTTAATATTATCATATTTTTCATAAATTGTTTCTTCACCAAATTCTTTAATGTTTATATTATTATTATTTGAAAACATACTTAATTTATTGGTATCAAGGACGATTTTGTCATTGTTGAATGTGATTGTATTGTTCATGTTTAATATTATGAGGTGTTATTTTTATATAATAAAAACAATTCAATTTTTAAATATATGCATGCCAAGACATACATAATTTAATTTTATGAGAAATTATTTTGGTTACACCAACTTATTGTGGCTATTTGTCCAATTAGTACCAATAAACCAGAGCATAATCATTATAACCTCAACCGGTCCCTATAGCAAGCATCATTACTGTTCAAGGTTTCGCTCGTATGCTCATGCATGTTGTTTTTGGTGCCAAGTTGATCCATCTGGTCACTGTTGTTGTCGAGTTTGCCATTTGGATGCTTGTCAATCAGTATCAACCGTTGCCCAAGAAATCGTACTTGCTATCTTTACTACGAGCAACCTCCACATCTCCGAATCACTTTGATTCCATGCCCCTTCCTCCCCGCATCTGCGATCCCCTGTTGGCCATGAGCCTCATGTCAAGACATCCGAAGGAATGGCTGATGTTGAAGACGATGTTTCTGTCACTGCTGCTGAAGAGTGAGATCAAGAAGAACAGGTAGTCAAAGAAGAGGAGGTAGCGAAAACTGAAGAAAAAGACGGAAAAAAACAGGAGGAGAAGAAAGCCGCGAAGGTCGTCGATACTACACAAGATGATGAAGAGTAAGTCGAGGAGGAACAAGCCACGAAAATTCCATCGAAATTTTGCATATTATGCATATAAATTGTGTAACCTTTATATTGAGGTCTCATAATATCTTCAACTGATTTTAATAACATTTCTTCAAAACTATTATAATCTGTTAAATAATATAAATTTAAATTATAACCATCGTACCAACCACAAGCATATAGAATAAAACTATTATTAATATCTCTATATGTCTCAATATCATAACTAATAATTCTATCATCTCTAATTATACTTTTTTTACTTTTATTTCTATGAATAGGTTTGCAATTAATTATTGATTCAATATATAATAAACATTCAATATTATTATCAATTACTAAAATATGGTGTATACTATCTTAAACCATGAATTGTCGAAAATTGAGATTTTTTAAAGTGCCGCTGGATAATAGAATAGCCGCTACATGTGTAGGCATTGTCAGCCAATCCAATAGTAGACATTTCTTTGTATATTGATAGTAACGTGTAGATTTAATCTTCTGTTCCACTTCTTCTATGAGAGCGATATCTGCGTGTCGTAAACTTTTCAACTAGCTTAAGAGCTTCGCTTCCAGTTTTCATTTCATTATATGCATGAATATAGCGCCAGCAACGGTTGTAGTAACGGCGAATTTCTGCAGGTGGTTCATCAGGTGGAGATACCTGATCCAAGCAATCCTCGAGCCTTTTTTCAAGAGCTGTAAACGAGTAATCACACTCCTTTTTCGCACTTCGTTTCCCTGCACCGCAATACCTTTCAATCGTAGCTCATAGTCGCTCATGTTTCGCTCCTTGTCCTTTTTTGAGTTCATTTCAGGTTGGATAATTGGGGTAAGTTTCAAAAATGCTTCTTCGACAGTCAGCACTGGCACAAAGTCCTCCAACACAACCTCTACTTCATCATCCTTATGAAAGAAGGAAGTGATTTAATAATTCCCTTTCTTCTTTTCTGATGCTTTCTCTAGCTGCTAGTATTTGGTGGTTCTGCCGTGTCCCCAATATTTGCCACAAGACTTCGCATCTGCTTTATTGTCCCAAATAATAGGAAACTTTTGGCTTGTTGTAGTAGCTGTCGTCGTTGTCGTTGTGGTTTCTGTTGCTTCTTCGAACGCAGTGAGAATCTCAAAGACGTTTGATTCTTGTTCAGTCACATCAGATGAAGTCTGGTTCTCAACAATTGGCGATTCTTCTAGTCTTGCAACTTTTTGAAATCGTCCGTTTTTTGAGCTTTGAAGCTGTTCTAAGGCGCGTTTTTGTTTGTTGGAAATAGGAGCCATTGTTAGGCGTTGTAATGATAGAGCTTAAATAATAAGGAACATAATCAAGTATCTTTGAGATGATGTTTTATTCAAAGCTTTTTTATATTCTAGCTATTAAGGCGGCGATATTAATTTATCCATTTAGTGGATAAACTATGTGATAGAGGATGGATCAAGGATGTATCAGAACTTCTCTTGAAGTCGCTATGTTAATCGGGCACATCTTTGAAACCAGCATTAGCTGGCTGCTGTAATGGCTGAGGTACCTGTTGATAGGTTCATTGTCCTGCTCACGTAAGGTAAATCGTCTGAGTGAGAGGTTTTCTTGTATGGTATAATGTTTAACTGAATATCTTATTCTTGATATCTTAAGCAGTGTATTAATGTGGTTCACCACAGGTGTGTTATTGGGAAAATGGGTGAGTAAGAAGAGCAGTAACGCACTCATATTACTGGATAAGCCAGCTATTTGTGTGTAACCTTGGAACATCTATGGTTACACACTGCCAAAAAAAATTCTTCTCCTTGCCCAAACAACTGTCGAAATCCTCCACCTACTTAGTAACTTTTCATATCCCGACAAAACTTCAAAGGCTATCAGAGCGATGAGAAATGCTTTTCTCAAAAAACAAAAACGTACAATGTGTTAAGAGTACCTTTATAAATATGTTCTACGTCGCAGAGTATTGATAACTTCATTTCAGACAGCCCTGATAGGATTCCTTTTTTTCATGTCAGTGATCGAATTTATTTATGGTTTAAGACAGTATGCACCATATGCTTATTAATAAATCGTTTTAAAATATTTTCAGTTAAAACATCTTTGAATTTGAATAAAATATTACCTGATTTAAGTATATACCCAATTCTACTATTTGGATTTAACTCAGTAATAAGAATATCAATATCTAAAGAATATCTATATAAATTACCATATAATGAATTATAATAAAAATCTTTTTTAACTAAAATACCTAATTTATTTAACTCAAAACTATACGGTATATATTCACTAGATAAAATTTTACTTTGAATATCTCTTACAAGTGTTGTGTTTGAATACTTTTTAATTTGATGTTTAATACTTTGGAATTGATCTAAATCAATACTTTTAGATAAAATAATATTTCTTACATTAAGATAGATAGTATCACCTAAATCTAAGTTATATTTTATTGCTTCTAATTCGATCTCAAATTCAATAAAATCAAATATTTCATTAGGATCAGTTTTATTCGTAATAAGTAATTGTCTAGATAGACTATACATGATTACCACTAATAATAAGAGGAATGAGACAAAATAATTTATTTGCACTTAAACTGTTTAACATTGTTGTAATAGTACTAACTCCATTACTTCTATAATTATATAGTTTACAATATTTATTATCATTCTTTTTCCAATCATACTTATTGTTTCTAAAATTGGTGAAATCAATCATTTTAGAAGGATCAAATCCCAAATTAACTAATACTTTAGATTCATTAATAGATGAACTATATACTTCACTATTATTTTCTGAAGGGTTTTTATTTATACATACCACTGAAGGTAATAAAGCTAAAAGTAAATTATCTGGAGTATTAATCCACATATTACTAGTAATTAAACCATCAGGTGTTTTAATCCTAATGTAACTTGAAATAAGCTCTGTAAAAGAGTATAAATCACAGGTATTCGAAGGGAAAATAGGGCAATCGCTAAAAATATAGAATAAGTTTGTAAACATTCTATTTTTAAAGTAAGTAAGTAATTAGATAGCATCGAATTTTTAATAATGATTTATTTAGTTTCAAGATTAATTATCTCTACTTACAGTACCGCCACAAGAAAACATAAACTAAGGTACCAGGGGAGAATTTTATAAAATAATAATATATATCGATATCATGGGAGATTATTTATTATTATTATAAAATAATAATAATAATCTTTTATATGAATCATCAACCCAGAATGATTCGTTTAAATAATAGCAATAACTAAAAATCCAATATGACATAAAAACATAATTAATAATAATACAAAATTATTCCAATCTCTTAATGAAATAATAAGGCAAACTAATTTATGTAATAAAGGTCTATTCTTAATAAATTCTCGTTCTTCAATTTTAATTAGTTTACTTAACATACCTATAATTAAAAAGAAACAATCAAGAATTCCAATAAATGTAAATAGACAAACACATAAAATTAAAATAGGAGTAGGATTTCCATCACTACCTCTAAAATATTCATTTAATAAATTAAATACATCTTGAGGATTTTCAATGAATTTTGAATTAATTCTACAAAATTTTTACTATTTTCATTTGGAGAATTAATTTTGAAGTTTCCATCTGGTGGAGGACTACCAGATCTTTCATTAGAGTGATAATACATTCTTTCACACATTTCTCTCATTTTTTTTCTTTCTTCATAGTTATGATTCATCATTTCACCTAATCCATAAGTAGCAAAACTACCAATAGTACCAACAATACCTAAAAACAATCTATTTCTAGGATTTGTTTTTGCAATTTTAACTGCAGCAGTTATTGTTGTTCCAGAAATAATTCCCGCAGCAACTCCAGGAGAAGTAATTGGTTTATCATTATTAGAATTACTATTTGATGGATGATTATTTGACCCTGCACCTCCATCTCCAAAATTAATATTAAAAGTATTTTTTGATGAAGGATTTGTATTAGATGAATTAGGGGCAGAACTTATATAAATTAATAAACCTAGTAATACTAAACCTAAAGAGCCTGTAAAAATGTTAGAAAGATTATCATTTAAGAAGTGAATAAATTCTATGAAATAAAGATGAATAGAATCAACTAGAATATTAGGAATTAAAAATACAGATGCAAATCTAAAATGATTTTTATCTGTAGAATAGTAATGGTGATTGGTTTAGGTCTTGATGATTATTTTAAATCAATTGTTTTTATAGAATATTTAAATAGATAATGAATATCTTCAATAATACATTAATTTATAACTTTTTTTTATTTTTTATATTCATTTACTATATGTTTTGTATTAAAGTTACTTTCTTTTTCCCAAGTACTATCGTCATTGCTATAACTAGTCCATTTTACATAAAAAATATATTTGCCTTGATTATCTAACGTATAGTCTAATATTTTTTCTACTTTATATGATATTTTGTCCTTTGATTTTTCATTGTATTTATTTCTTCTTCTTTTTTTACCTGGTTCAGGTATTTCATTTTCTAATATTATATCGTCATCAACATCATTTAGCATTTCTATATCTTCTATATTAAGATTCATTATTCTCTCTTGCATATCTATCATTTCATTATATTCCTGATTAATTGTTTGAGAATTTTTAAAAATATAATTAAGTTTAGTTAATTTTGTAGGAAATTCAAAATTATTATTATACCATAACATATGATGTGGTAATGCTTCTATTTTGTAATCATCTACTGTTTTCCATATATTCTTTATTAAACAAGCTACTCTAAATTGTAAATTATAGTATTTTATATCAGTTATTTGAACAGCAGATCTATTGTTATTAAACCTATCAAATTTACTAGCTAAAACTGAGAAATGATTTTCAATACCTAAACGAAATGAACCAAATTTTTTATTGTAATCAAGTTCTATAACAGTTCTTTTTACATTTTGCTCTTTTCTTATTGGGTATACAAAATTTCTTTTATCAAATTTATTATTAGAATTATATTCATCAGCATTGTTAATAAATTTTTGTATAAATAAATCATACCCACCATCAAAACCAATATAATCAGCTTCCGATATTTTATCTTTAAAAAACTTCATATTCAAAAACATAGTACCATTATTACCAATAGCGCATTTTTCAGTATCTGATACATATGTAATCATATTATTCATATCAGACATAACTTATATTCTTAATCCTGAACCTTTTAATTTATATGAGTATATAGTTTTTATAGATTCACTTGGATTATAGTATTTAATTTTACTATCATGGCCATCAAGAAATAGTGTTATATTTTTAAAACCATCAGGATTATTTGCTTTTGCTGCTAATATCCTTATTTTTATATTTGAAAATAATTCTTTTAAATCTTTTTTTACAATTTTATTTAAATCAGCATAATTAGTAATCCAAAATTTCTTATATAAATCGTAAGAAGTTGTGTATGGTATAAATTCGTGCATATTCTTACCAGGATTACCAAATACAATATGGTATAATAAAATTAAACCTTTTTCAATTTCTCTATATGGACTAGGATATTCTTTATTTCCATATAAAATCACTAAGAAATAAAATACAGGTATATAACCTAATTGTTTTAAAAGTATATCTTTTATAAATTTTATTTTATCGTCTTTGGTATCTTTAATTTCTATCCTATGGTTAAATCTATTATGAATGTATGGCCGTTCCATATTTAAAAATGTCCATTTATTTCCAATAAGTTTATAAACTTCTGAGTTTAATTGGCTAGTAAGATTATCAGTGTCCATTATATTAATAATAGTAATAGTAGAAGTAGTAGAAGTAGAAGTAGTAGCAGTAGTAGCAGTGGTAGCAGTAGTAAAAATATATATTAAGGTTGCCGCGTTTAAGACAAAAGGTTATCCTTAATAAGAAAAGAAGAATGTATAAAATATGTAAGTAATCAAGTATAAGCAATTACTTATTATATTAAAAACAAATTCAATTTTTTGATAAAAAGTAATTGAGTTTGAATTTTATAAAAAAACTCAAACTCCGATAATAAAACAATAGTAAAATGATTTGTCATCAATAAAAAGCAATTGCTAATGTATATCCCCCTTTTTTAGAAAATCTAAAATAAAAAATCTATACTCTCCCCTACTGAGAAAGGCAATAAACCATTTCATCAATATTTTTCATAATTTCTTCTTTACTTTTTGATTTATACATCTCTATTATTGTAATAATTATTTTATAGCATAAGCTAGATTAAAGCTGCCACTATTGCAGATATACACTTTTTGGATTTTTTTGGATTTTCTTTTTTGGATTTTTTCTATATCTTTTTTAAGAATACCATTGTTATTAACAATTATACATGTTAATTCTGGATTTTCAATTTTTTTTGTAGGTTTTTTGTTGTGTTTTTTAGGTGTATGAAGTTTACTATGTTTATTACAAAGAAAATCCAGCTTATTATCACCTATATTTATATTAATCTTCCTATGACACATATGACCTTCTTTTTTACCTCTTCTATGAATAAAAGTACATACATTAGGTGAAGAGTTAAGATACCAAAAGTTTTTATCTTCGACTTCATTAATTTTTTCTTTAATTATATTCTCCATCAATTTCTTTTTTTCATCTTCTTTTTTAAATAATATCTCATCTTTAAAATAATTTTTCATAACTTGTAACATTGATTCTTTAATAGAATTAATCATATTATGTTTATCAATAAGTATTTCTGTATTCAAGATAACCATTTTTATTTTATGAAAATCTGGGTAATATATAATGTATTTATTTTTATAATAAGAAAAAATTCAATTTTTAATAAAAAAGTATGCATGTCAAAAATGTTTGTGTAACATTTAAATCATTTCGACCAAAATTGGCCATACCGATAGTAGATTATTTATAGATATAAAAGGTTATAGTCCATTACCGATTAGTCCTCAATACTTATGTTTAATAAACTTAATAATGGATAGAATATTATTCTGTAATAAAGAATAATAAGTTTGTAATAATCTATTATATCTATAAATAAGTATTTTAAACCAATAACTAGAAATAACCCAAACTAAGTTTAAAGTTAATCGCAGGATACGAAGGGGGAATAGGGCGATCGCTAAAATTTTAAAAGACATTTTTGTAAACATTTTTTTTAATAAATTAATAAAATTAGATAGCATCAATTAAATAACACTATTTTTTAAAAAATAGACATTTAGTTTCTCATTAAATAATGATACTTATAGAATCCACCTCAAAAAGGTATGTCTGAATAAGATCCTATCTAGAAGGAAAGAAGTATGTTTGTTTTCTTTCCTTCTAAAGGAGGATATGTAAATAACAGTTTCGTATTAAACCCATTACCCTTCTAAGAGCACCTGCAGCAGTCGCTGTTACAAAACTGTTAAATTTCAGAGTTTAACAGCCCGCTTAACAGTGCGTAACAGCTTAACAGGGCATTTCGTGCAGCGGTTACTGTTACGAAGCTGTTAACTTCACACGTCGTTGGTTTCAATGAAAGCTTTGCCCTTTCTCCTGAGCAGGGGGCAGCGGCAGAAACGTCAGACAGGCGAGTGGCGTTAGAAGTAGCGTTGTTCAATTTGAAGAATACAAACAAAGAATGAAGTGAGATATAGCTTTATTTTTCAAGTCCTTTTTCTCGATTCAAGAAACTGTTAAATTTAACAGTTTTTGTTCGGGCTGTTAAATTTAATAGGACGTTAACAGCAACCGCTGCAAGGTCTGGCTGTTAAATATTTTGTTAAATTTAATATAACAGGTTCTTAACAGCGACTGCTGCAGGTGCTCTAAAGGAGGATATGTAAATAACAGTTTCGTATTAAACCCATTACCCTTCTAAAGGAGGATATGTAAATAACAGTTTCGAATTAAGCCCATTACCCTTCTAAAGGAGGATATGTAAATAACAGTTTCGTATTAAACCCATTACCCTTCTAAAGGAGGATACGTAAATAACAGTTTCGTGTTAAACCCATTACCCCCAAGGCCGTCGATACCGCGCAAGATGACGAAGAGCAAGTCGAGGAGGAACAAGCCGCGAAGGCCGTCGATACCGCGCAAGGTGAAGAAGAGCAAGTCGAGGAGGAACAAGCTGCGAAGGCCGTCGATACCGTGCAAGATGACGAAGAAGAAGCCCAGGAGAAAGAAGCTGCGAAGGCCGTCAATGCCGTGCACAATATTGATCAGGAAGACAGAGAAGAAGTCGAGGAGAAGAAAGCCGCAATGGCTGTCGACACCGCGCACGAAATTGATGAGGAAGAAAAAGAGATAGGAGAACAAGGACAAGTGAACGAGCTTGAAGTCGCTGCACCTGCAAGTAACACCACCGCCAACCGTCATGCTCATCACCACCAACGTTGCTGCCATCACATCAACACCCGCTTCCAGCCTTATACTCTGCACAAGCCTCAAGACCGTCGCCTACACTCCTTAGCCCAGAACCAGCTTCCTTCTCTTCCGTCCATTCCTATAAGCAACACCGCCGTTACTACCATTGCCCCGTCCGCTTCTTATGTTTCTCGTTGCATTTCTCACCAAAACCGCCGCTGCACCGTTCCTTTGCGACCTTATACCTGTCCTGCTCGCCACCACCATCGCCGCCTCCGGCTCTCATTCTCTCTTACCCTTCGCTCTCTCATTGCCATCGCCTCTGCTGCTGCTGCTGCTGCTGCCGCCGCGCCTGTTTCGTCTAACCAGTTCTCATTCGATTTCTTTTTCCCTCCTCCCAGCGCCAGCATCACTAACAGCAACAACAACAACGATTCTAATCCGTTCTCCTTCGACTTCTCTTTCCCTCCTCCCGGCGCAAGCATCACCAACATTCCGCTGCCATCGCCATCATCACATCTCGCACCGCCTGCAGCAGCTGGCGAGCATACTTGCTTTGCACGACGATGACGAAGTTCTGGTCCGCTGGTTGGGGTTTGTCAAAAGTGACAAAGCCCTTCACAGAAAGGTGGATCCATCGATAGCCATGTTTGGTGGTAAGTAAAAGCGAATGATTCTTTCTTTCGGTATGAGACGATGATCTATAGTGTGTATAACGGATTCTAAATGAAGATGGATCTTTTGTTTAGTGTACGCGGTGCTTGAGGAGTTTGTCCTTACATCTGCATGTGTCCTTTTCCTTGTCCCGTTTCCCTATTTGGTGTCGTCCCTTAGTTCCGCGTTTACTGCCGTCGTTTCCTTGGTTACCGCTTTTTCTCTGTCTCTCTCTCTCGCCGTTGTCAGGCGATGTGATGATTGTGTGTGTGCGCTTGGTGCAGGTAAATATTTAATCAGCACTACTTGCTCGATCTGGGTAGAATACTGAATTAATGGCTTTATCATATCTTTTTAAAAAGAGCGCACTCTAGGGTTCGGTGGTGTCTGGCGGTTTCCGCCTTCGTCAGGCGATGGGGAGCGGTCCGGACATCTCAGTGGATGGAGGTAAAGGTAAGGTTGGGGTTGGCGTTGGCGCCGGCACTGGCTGCAGCCACCGGGGGTTGAAGGGGTATGGGGGGGGGCACATGGGGATAGCGATGATGGTTGAGCCGGTGGTAGGGAGGGGAGCAACGCTCTGGTTGTGTAGGCAGCAGGAATACACCATCGAGGCACATGTACAGCGGCGGTTCTTGACAGCAAATGACAACCCAAGGTGTTATGCTTGTATGATTACGGTACGTGCTATGCTTTCTTTAATACCTACGGCCATATTAATAAGAAGAGGCTTACTAACTGATATATTCTTTTTCCTTTCCTTATTACCTTCTTCGTACTGCATTCAACTCGGATGTGGTTTGAAGAAGGCTACTAGAAACTTAAGGAATTTATTCCTTTCCCAGGGTTATCATTCCAGTCAGTTCCAGCCCATGTGGATGGTGTTCCTGCAGAAGCCCTACCCCAGAGCAATGTTGTTCCCCCGATCCCCGCCACCGAAAGCTCAACCGGAGTTATCCTCGCCCTTTCCATATCCTGGATCCCCCACCGGTTGTAGTCAGTGTCACAGCCATGTAAGTCCAGCCTCAATCCTTCACCTTGCCTCTATGAAGCTGGGATGTCCGGGCTGGGGTGTTGGGCCAGCGGTGTGGGCAGTACGCCGCGATGGAAAGTGTCAGCTTTCCAGGCTAGCCGAGTAAAAAACCAAACTGTTTTACTTGGTATCGGATCGAGGATTCGCAGAATCCCGTCTTTGGCTTGATGAGACGTCGGCACTCGACAAACATCTGCCAAACACTACACCATGGGAGAACAGGCAAAGTCTCTTGTAGCAGAGAAGAAAGAAGACGGGACATACGCTCAATTTTACACGCAATCGACTTTGGAACACGCTTATGGTTTGTGCGGCAGCAATACAAGCATTAGTAGGAGACTATCAAGGTAATTTGAACGTACATAATGTGGAATTGAAGCAGAAATACAATACAATCGTAATCATGGGGACATATGTATTCACTGAGATCGAATGAATCTTATTACAGTGATAACGGCAGCTAATATGAATGCGCGGCGGTATCTTGAGGACGGCAACGCAAATGCACGGATCGCTCCTTTGTCTTTAAGCGGCAACAAGAATCATCACTAGACAGAGAAACATGGCGGCAATCTCTATTCACGTAGCAAATAACAGTGAGAATCGAAAAATAACAAGGACAGCAAGAGTGTATAGCGGCATATAAGGTAAGGAGCAATACAGAAAGATGCAATTGATACTTTATACTTTTGTACAGACTTGTGCTCAATGTCATCTTACTATATCTGTTAGCCAGTCAAGGATGCTTTTCATTTAACAAGATTCGCAATTTCTGCATATATCTCACGAAGGAATCTCTTCCGACAAATTGGCGGTAAGTTATTGTCCATGTAATGATAGTCCCACAAGAACAACCCAAACAAAAAAAAACAAAAAAGAAAAAAGAAAAAAAAAGAGCAGTATTAGTATCAGTATCAGATTAGAGAAATATACAGCAAAAAAGAATACAACGCTGGACGACGGAAAACAGAACCGGAAATGCGACATAGAAAACGCGAAAACCAAGGCAGTGGAAATCCAAAAGTCACCGTCAAAGAAACAAGGAGACATCACAGCCTATCGGTGAAAAAAAAAGACCAAGAAAACATCAAAAAGTCGATAGCAGTTGTACCGTATGAACAAATTCATTATGAGACTACTAGATCAACATCGCATACAAAATCCAGCAATTGTAACCAACACAATGTTTACAGTCCCAAACTGAAAAGCAAAGCAGAACCAAAGCATCAAGTAAAGTTGACAGTAAGTACAAACGAAGAGAGCAACGCATGGTCATATTTACGTCTTAATCAATGTCTAACATCATATGTACGTTCCATGGTGCTTAACAGTGTAGGCCGAAGAATACATCCAGCGCCAAAATAATCTCAAGGATCACCACAGCAATCCATCTACACTTCGATCAAAGAAGTATCCATCCACAACAAAACACCTTGAACGACGTCTGTGCAGAAGTAAGAAGTCAAAGTCAGTATGTAAACGCACCAAAGAGAACAACGAGCAAAGTATCAAGCATAATGCGCAATACGACCTGCTACACAATCTACAAAGAGCCAGGACTTTAGAATAGAAATTTGACATTATGATAGACTTACAGAAAAAAAAAGACTAGGGACTATCATTACTTGGACCAAACTTACTAACATTTGGAGGACTAGATCAAGTTGTTAGTAGCACACCAACATCATTACTTGAAAATAAAGAATGCATTTTTTTTTAATAAAAAGACCTCTTCCTCCCGGTACCATGCTTTCATCTGTTACATGTTCCATAGTTTCCGCGCCATGTTAACAATTGATTCGATTCCAAACGTGCAAAGTATGATATGTACCGATCACTCAAACACAGTCAGAAACACCAGACTGGTACTGTACTCTTTGGGGTCAAGCTGATATTGGCATCAGCGCACTTGTATTTATACAGCAAGCATTATTGGGAACTTTGGGCAACTAACCTTGGAAGCACATATGGATCACTGGACTTTGTTCCGCATGTACATTTCCCTCAATGCCACCGGTCTTTTTAGTTATTTCGTGCACAAACGAGAATACAATCCGAATGGCTATCTAGAGCCCAATTATGTCAAAGAGCGCCTTGATGTTTGAGTAAAAGGTCTCTAACTCTTCATTCGTTTATGTGTGTGCATATATAGCCACTTTACAGAGTCAATTCGCTGCTTACCCTTGCTATATTCATACTGGCCTTATACGAATAGGTTCCTACCAGTGATCAACTGAAAAGAATAACAAGACCCTTTCAGATGGTAAAAAATCATTCTCTCAAATCACTTTACTCTTGCCTTTGTGGGAAGGCATTTCTTCCCCTGTTTATTAGTGAGTTAAACTTTCTATCTTAATACGAAAGATCATGGCTACCCCTTTTTTTTATGTCAGTTCTTTGAGAGAATGCCCTAGTTATGGTCTTTAAAAGATCATGGCTAGGGCTTTTTTTTAATATCGATTTTTGAACGATTTTGAGATTTCACCATTTATAATAACTAATTGATATTCTCTAAAACAAATCAGCATACCATCATTCAAATAGTCTGGATGAAATCGATGTATATATGGATACCGTTAACAGAAACAGAGCACGCATAAATGATGGTAAGCGATGTTTCTTTTTTCTTTTACAAAGTGTATCATATACGACTTTTTATGAAGAAGAAAAGTTAACGCGGACAAATAAAATAAGATGGAAGCTGCAATGGAGAACGACTGGCAAAGGTACGTTTATATAATACTAAAGGGAGTCTAATCTTCAGTATGATAGGCGAAAGATTAGAATGCAAGATAAACGAACTTACGACAACTTTTTTTAATGATGTAGACGCATCCAACATGGTTCCTGGTCCATATATCAGGGTTCATCGCTTCAGCGATCCGGAGCGACAACAGCCGCATAGTTAAAGTTCTTTTTCTCTTACAGTTCTCTTATATAGATAATCCCTCCCATCGTCCATTATAAAGTACGCATAGTTCTTTTACCTCTTTTCTCAATAAACATATAGTATAACAAACACAATATTAGATCCTCCTATCCAACGGGAAGGTGTCTCAGTCTTTGTGCTCTATTGTTTACACAGATACACATCATAGCGCCAAGCGAGAGCTTTTTCGATGCGCTATAATCAAAGCAGTCTTTCGCATTACTTACGGAAGCTGCTGTTCTCCGCAGTAATAGCACCTTATTTACTGTGAAATTTCGTAAACCAAGTTGCACATGTAGACTTGGCCTTATCGAAGGTTTCAACACAATCTTGCACGTCCAGTCAATGATGGGGTTTGCGTCAATGTATCTGCAAACATAACACGTGAACTGACAACGTCAAATCTTGTTTTTTACCTAACGTTACTGTTGCCATTGCAACCACTGAGTCCCTTTGTATTTAACGCACTACCAAAGAAGGAACATAAATTTTGACACGGTGCAGTGCGTGGAAGATATAAGCCCTAGATATTGTGAATGATATTCAAATGACATGGGTCTAAAGGTGTGTATGCAGCAGAACTCTATGTTTTACATGTACATTAATTTTCTGATCCGCGTCTGGTGCCATCATCACGTTTTGTCTGTTTGCTTGGTTTGCTATAAATAAATACACATGTACAGTATTATACGGGTGCTTATGTAGTAACCATTCTACTTAATCATGATGCATATGATGACGTTCACCAATTGGATACGTGATGATGTGGAGATGATTAAAAGCATGTGTATAATATACGTTGTGCGACCAAGAAAATCAAGTACTACAGTAGTAATAGTAGTTGGTGGTTCTTGTACATAGGCCCTTTATTACATTTACTAATATTACAACCAACCACAGCAAGAATCGGAAGCGTGAAACTTAAATGACGCGATCGATTGAGTCAACATAAAAACCATGATTACTACCAAAAGCAGCAGAGAAATAAAGAAACCAGATTGTACCCAATCGATAATACACCCTCTTTTTTCAAGTGAATAATGAAACCCAGTTGTTGTTGTTTATTTTAATTACTGGACGATAACAACAAAGACAAAGGAGAGACAATGTACAATTGGGGACGTGACCACAAAAATAGAAATGCAAGCAAAGTGACCAAGTATGGATAGATGGGGTACAGAAAGTCACTGCTGCACGGCTTATGTAGATAGCGTGTGTGTGTGTGTGTGTGGGTCTGCTGCTCACTGCAATTGTGTGTATCAATGATAGATGCAACAGTTTCTGCACACGATCATGCCACTGTGTAACCTGCATTGTGGCGTACTTGTAGACATACCCAGGACCAGTAAAAAAAAGGCTATATGATGCGAAGGAAGAAGAGGAAGAAGATAGGGTATCGTATTCCATTTGTTTTTACAGAGATAAAATAAGAAATGACAAACGAACGGATGAGTGAGTGTGTGAAATGATGACAATGGACAATGAATGTTGTTGTTGATGATGTTGATGATAAGTATTACTATTATTTTCAAGGCGTAGAAGAGCAAGAAATTGCCCCTAACACGATTGCTGGATGATGATTGTACTGATGATGATAGTGATGGTGATGTTGATCTTTTTCGTCGTCGTCGTCATCATTATTACTGCTACTACTACTACTACTACTAAAAGTCCCACCACTACTTTCGGCATCCAACGCTGCCGATTCCTCCACGGCAAGCTCGATAAAGCGCTTGATACATTTCGGTTTGCCGCAATGTCGTTTCGCATGCTCTTTTCTCGAAAACGCGCGCTCACATAATATGCATACAAAGACACGTTCTCGATCCCCGCTCGTTGTTGCAGATGTGTGACCCTTAATATTTTTGTTTATTTTTCTGCTCTTTATGCTTTGCTGATGAGCATCCTCCTCGTCCTCGTCCTCGTGTGGGCAGTCATAGTCATCTTCACTACTGCTATGATGGTGGTGGTTTGTCATAACAGTAGCCACAGATGATGATGATGATGATGCGTCTGTTGTTGTTGTTGTTGTTGCTGCTGTTGCGATCGAGCTGTTGCTGATGATATCGTTGTACGATGATGGTGACCGTGTTGTTGTTGAAGGATGATGATGAAAATGATGACCTACATCTCCGTAGGATACATTCATCAGTTCTGACATGGTGCTTATTAACCTTTTTCCCCCGTCTCGATTTGATTTGCTTCTATTTTGCTTCCTTGTTTGCTAAAACTAAAAAAGTGAGGGATACGGTCATCATGAGTTGTACACTTGAACGTACTCGACAGAAACTATATCTTATTGTAATTCTTACCGAAAGTCAAAAACTCTCTCTCATTTGAAAAAAAAATGACTTCTTTTTATATAAAACTAGACTGCTGTGTTGCTTTAAGTAGAGTTTTCGGGTTTATTTTATCTCGAGCGAAAACTTCTCGGGGGGAGGATGTGTGTGTTACGATAAAGAGATAAGAACTTTAGAAAGATTGTTGAGAAAAAGAAAGAGAGAGAAAAAAACCAGGGATGCGGACAAGTCAAGTGCTGTGTGTGTATAGCTGTTTAGGCCTTAATCTTTTAAAGTTAACAGCTTCTTTTTTAGTACAAAAGGCGTTTTAGCTGCATATGGACCAGGAGTAGGAATAGAAGCTAAAAAAAATGATCGCCATATTTGATACCTTTTTCTACCCCGCACCATAATAATGATCACCCGGACGACTGGATGTTTTCTAACAGTGATAATGATGATGATGATGAACAAGAGACAGTCAGTATCTTAATCATCATCATCATCCGTACAGTACTAATATACCCGACCCCTGATTTGTTTATCCTCTACTATTACTACTACTACATACTACTATTACTAACAGCGTAACTTTGGATATAATCACCGAAATGGATGAAATCTTACTCTTTGTTTTTACAAGTTGCTCAGTAGTATTCTTCTATCTGGAAGTTATTCCTTTTAGGCAATACATTTACCGTGAGCCTGGTTATTAAATTCAGAGCACAGAGAGAGAGAGAGGGGGGTTGGGAGGTTGTATGTACGTAGCAAAGGAGCAAGCTCAGGGACGCCGGGCATGGTAGTGGACCTTTTCCACTTTACAAATCCGAGTATGTAGTGTATCATATATCATTCATACAATAGGAAGGTTTTCAGGATGCGTTTGCTATAATATGTATGTATGTATGTAAATGTGGCTAGCCTGCCGGGGAAGACACTGTGTTACTCTCTCTCTCTCTCTCTTACTTACTCCTATTATCAGAACACTGTCGCTACTTACTATGTTTTTCTTCTTGTCGCAAAAGCTTAAAACACACACGTTTACATGCCACCACTTGCTCTTTTTCTATAAAAGACCGATAAACCGGATTATGTACTAGCTCGGGGGGATATCATATAAAGGTATTGGCGGATATCAAGGTATGTTTGTATCATATGTTAGTAAAATCGAGGACAAAAAGAAAGGAGAGGTCTACAACCATTAAGAAAAAGGCATGGACGACACTGATGTTACAACATTATTACTATTGGTATGTGTATATGTATACTGTACTATATATGCAGCATTATTCCCTTGATGATTATTGTTTACATATATGCCGGTCAAGCTGATGAACCTCGCTTTGATTTTCTACAAGAAGGAGCGCTTGCTATTGTAATAGGTGCATAATAACCGTAATAAGTTCCTGCAGTTTTGCCACCAAAAGCAGTAGTCGATGATGACGACAATAAATAACTTATTATAGATCTACCACAAGCAATTGCGGAGCAAATGTGTCAAAAAAAGATAAAATGTGGTCAGTATCATAGGTCACAAAAATTTTTTTTTCTTCAAACGGGCTTTGTGCTACTGCGGACAGAGCACAGACAAGCATTAAAGAAAGAGAGAGAGGGTATCCTTGTTTGCTGTTACTACTTTTTTCTTTTCATGCCAACTGTGGCGTTGTTTCTTTCCTCTATTACTGCTACCTGTTCCACTCGTGCCACTGCACGTTCTTTGACATACACTACTACTACCACTACTGCTGCATTGAGACAACCCCAGCTACAACGACAACGTATACCGTTCCAACTTGTAATCCGACGCACCATGAAGGCTTATATACAATTTGTTGGCCAAAGTTCACCCGAGGGCCCACCGTCCATCATTGTCCATTATGACACACAACGCTACATGTTCAATTGTCGTGAGGGCACCCAACGGCTTTGTGTCCAAGAACGCGTGCGCATGTCGAAACTACGTGATATTTATTTGACTCGTATTGCTTGGCAGAATATCGGTGGCATGCCAGGCATGCTTTTGACATTGGCCGATGCAGGTGTGAAGGATCTAAAGATCCACGGTTCGAAAAACTTGACGCACTTTTTGGTTGGCACACGTCAATTCATTTACCGGTAAAAAAAAAAAAACGGAAGAATATGTGATGTTTCCAAGTGAAAAAGAAAGGTTATTAACTTTTTTTATATCGTGTGTATATATATTTAGGACATCATTGGCATTGGACACTGACGAATTCGATGGATCTGGGAAACCCACAACCAATAAAGGACCATTGACAGTAACGCCTATCGTTGTCTTACCCGATCAGCATAGTCCATACGGCACCAAGCGACGCTGGAACGATGAAAATGCAGACCAGGACATGGCGTATCGAAAAACAGTGTTGCGACAAATGTTTCCTGTTGGCAATAACAACAAATCTCCTCCAGCTCATACCATTGAAGCATCATGCACACCACGCCCTCCTATGACCACCACCACCACCACCAAGAATCCCGATGAAATTGTGATTGATGATGAAGATATCACGGATACCACCGTCACCAATGGACACCCATTGGCACCTTCCGAGAAGGAGCAGAAGCAAAAACAAAATAAACAACAACAGCGATCCTTTGAACTTTTACGTAATCAATTGCCTCGTACACGACCTTATCCAGCTGCGACATCGTATGTTTGTCGAGGACCCAAGTTGCCTGGTAAATTCAATGCAAAGGCAGCAAAAGAGTTGGGTATCCCACCTGGTCCTATCTACGGTAAGTAGAGAGAGGGTATATTTGCAGTGAGACATGCGTATTGATGACTGACTCGGACTACCATAGGTCGTTTGCAACGTGGCGAAACTGTAACACTAGAGGATGGACGAAGCATAGAACCTAGCCAAGTGATGGGTCCCTCATCATCCGGCCACGTAAGAGAGAGATTTTTGGTCTTTTTGCTCCCAAAGAATGCGTCTCTTAAATCTCATACGGACGGGGACATAGTTGTTTTTAATTGTAGATTGTCCAGACCAGACTTATTTAAACAACTTGATCGCATCCAATGCATTCAAGCCCTATCAGCAAACGAAAGAAAAGGGAGATCAGCCATGTGCTGTGATTCATTTGATTGGACAGGATGTTCTTGACGACAAACGGTACCGTGACTGGATGAATCTATTCAGCTCTTCGACAGAGGTAAAAACACTAGGAACCCAACCCCCTCCCTTTTGTCCTTTTTTGCTAAAATTCTTGTGTGTGTTTATGGCTATAGCATATCATTAGCACTCAAGACATATGCGCCCAAACCGTCCTGTACAAGTCACATGCTCACGGTCAAGTCAAACTATCCAAGCTCGACGATCAAATCTTTCCGATACCACACTATAGCAACACGCCCACGCGGACACTCCAGGATTGTAAGTCCAACTTTACCCGTATATGTTTGTTGCTTGATAATTCCCTTTTAATCACACACATAAACAGATACGGATCTACCATCGAAATGTATCCCTCTCTCCAACATGCTTCAATACAACCTGGAGCCGAAACCAGGCGTGGGTGCGACACCCCAAGAAGCAAACATTGCAGACCGTTGGGAGTTTGATCATGTCCGGTCTTCTGAGAAGATAGAACAGAACCAAGAGTTTATGGAGGCAGTACAAAGGGCAAGAGACGCAGCTTCTTCTTTGACCGATCATCAAGACACGTCTTTTCCTGGTGAAGATGTGCAAGTGGTTACCCTCGGAACGGGTAGTTCGATTCCGTCAAAATACAGAAATGGTAAGTTGCTGTTGTTGTTGTTGGGTGTTACAAATTTAGGAGAGCGAAAAAAAGCCTGGACCCTTTGTGTAACCTTTGCTTTCTGGGTCAAATCTAAACTGACCATTTGGGAAATATACACAGTGAGCGCAACGTTGGTCAAGACACCCAGCCATGGCTCAATCATGCTTGATGCAGGTGAAGGTACGCTTGGCCAGATGATGCGACACTTTGGCGATACGTTGCATGATGAACTGCGCGATTTGCGGTGCATTTTCGTATCGCATCTTCATGCGGACCATCATTTGGGCGTGATACAGTTATTGACAAAGTGGGCGGAGGTAAGTCTTTTCTCTACGATCTCATCTAAACCTCCTCCATCGTTGTTGTATTAATAATACCCATTTTGGTTTCATGACAGTTGAATGTGCAAGGTAGCAAGCTCTATGTGGTCGCGCCATTCCTGTTCAATACGTGGCTGCATGAATACAGCGGTGTCGAATCGTTCGGATATGGCGATAAGGTGGTGATGATTCGAAACGAGAGCATTCTTGGCGAGCGACAGCCTACAAACACAGAACTGGAACAGTAATAGTGTCTTTTTCTAAACCTTCACCCCACCCTACCTTGAAGCATTCAGCAACTCACCCCCTTGTAACATTTATCATTGTGTAGCTTTGAAGGGCTAAAGAAGACAATGGGCATCACCAAGCTCAATGCAGTCAATGTGATTCACTGTCGCTATGCTTATGGGTTAACCATCGACCATCAAACGGGTTGGAAGCTGGTGTATGTAAAATTTCGGTCTTTTGCTACTACTACTACTACATCCATCTGGATACTCACACACACAGGATTTCAAAATATCTTAGATATTCTGGTGACACACGACCTTGCGACAATTTAGTAGAAGCGGGTCAAAACGCGACATTGTTGATTCATGAAGCAACATTGGAAGATGGCATGAAAGCAGAAGCTATTGCCAAGCGTCATTCGACCACACAAGAAGCTGTTCAAGTGGGCCAAAGGTATAAAGAGAAGAAAGAAGGGGCTCAAAAGAAAGAAAAAGCTGCTAATGTATTGAAAAACAAGCATGAACGCACGGTACACACTGTTGAACCATTTCAGCCAGCGGTATCCCAAAGTGCCGTCGTTATCTGAAGAGCAGAGCAACGTGTGTTTCAGCTTTGACCTGATGACCATCCCCATCAAGCGGATACCAGTTTTGCCAAAGTACACCGAGGCGATCAGCCTGCTGTTCAAGGAGGAAGAGGAAGAAGAAGAAAAAGAAGAGAATGCACAGTAGTAGTCGTACCAGTAGCAGCATCGTAAAAAGTAATAATAAAGATCCCTTAATAATGAACGTACTTTTTCCGCAGTGGATCAGATGATCGATCCCACACAGACACAACACACGCGCATGAGTATGAAACACTCTTCTCCTGCAGAGAGTTTATGCTAGTCACTCTTGTGTGTGTGTGTATACACGCCTCGGACCCCACCAAAAAAAAAGAAAAAGAAAACCTCTTTCTTTCTTTCTTTCTTTCCTTCCTTCCTTCCTTCCTTCACCTTTTCAACGTTACAATAAAACAAACGTACGTTATGGCTGACATTGCAAAACAACCTGCCGTGGCTGCTGCTACTGGTGCCGTCGCTACTGACGCTGCAAACACGGTGACAAATACGCCTGCTGCTCCTGCTGCTGCGCCCAACAGTAGCTCCAACAGCAACAGCAACAACAACGACACCACAACACGTAAGATAAGGGATAGCAAACGATGGAGAACACATGAAATGCTCACACACAGCCCCTTGGGATATAAGCTAAGGATACCAAGGAACAACCTCAAGTAGTTCCTCAAACCTTTCCACCCTTGCCACTCGTTACTCCTCAGACCGTGCGCAAGTTTGATGACGGTAAAATAAAAAAAGCACTGTTTTTATATTTATCTAAGAAATGCTTGGCTTTTTTTCACAAGAGAGAGGGGGAGTTTGACACACACATTTTTTTTTTATATTTGGAAAAAAACATAGACCCAACGTTGTACATCAAGGGATGGATTCTGTCACTGCTATACTGGGAAAAGCCATACCGTAGCGGCGCGTTTTTCAGTGTCCTGATGAGCGTCTTGGTCCTCACGCAATACTATTCGCTGTTGCAACTCACAGCAGCCTTCTTCACGATTGTCACGGGCCTCAACTGGGTCTATGTCAACACGCACAAGCAAGGGCAGCGTGTATTTGGCGGCAAGCCAAGCGAGTCGTTGAGCAACCCACACCAGGCCCGTCTGACGTCCAAGGACACGTATATCCCCAAGCAAAAAGTACTGCGCACCGGCGAGCTAACGGTCGATGTTGTCGAGGCGGTTGTACAGGAACTGACAAAACTGGTGCTCATTCAAGATTCCATGCGATCGGCCTGGGCTGTCGGTATCGCCTACTCGGTGTGGACCTTGGCCACCTACATCTCTACCAAATACCTGGTCGGCCTTTTCATTGTCGGTGCCTTTTCGCTCCCCAAGCTCTATCAACAGAACCAGCAGGTCATTGACAAGCAGGTTGCGCATTATACCCATCATGGCAAGCAGTTGTTCAAGCAGTACTCGTCTCAGGCGTCGGTCAAGGCCAAGGAAATCTATGGTCAGGCGATGGCGACGGTCACCAAAAAGTCAAAGAAGGCGGAATAAAGTTTTCTTTTCTTAGTGCTGGGGTTTGTTTTCCTCCTCCCCCCCTTCTTCTCTTGTATAGTGGCCCCCACCCTTCCTATTGAAAACTAAAAATTGTATAAAAAAAAGCCATTTATCTTCTGTGGTCTCGGATTATTTTCTTTCTTCCCTTTGTCAACTTTACAGCGCACATATCCTTGAGGAAATCGAAGAATAAAAAAAGCCAACACAAATGCCATTCAAAAGTAAAAGAAACAAAGCATAAGTCTCAAAGTGATGATAGACCGGGATTCACAATGATGATTGTGTATGGTAGTTGCAAATCACGGTGGTCGCTACCTCTATGTCGACCCAAACAACGAACTCAAGGCAGATAACAATTACGACTTGTCACGGACGCCAGACAATTTGGCAGCCAAGGGAGACACGTTTGACGTCGACGAGAACAACCGCATCGTTGTCAACAACGAGCCAGTGACATTAACCGAAAAGGTCACTGGCAAAGAGCGGCCTACAAAGTTTGATTTGATGTTGGAGCAACTGAATCCTGAGGAGGTAAAAGCCAAAAGCTTCGGGGAATGAAAAACGACACAATGACTTAGTGAAATGTGTATAGTACGTCATTCGTACAGCCGACAGACGCAAGAATCATCGTTACGTGTTTTCGGGGTTGGACAAGTTACGGGTCCAGGATGAACCAAATGCTATGGCCATGTTTTCTGTTGTGCAAGAGGAGGGACATGCAAATCATTCGACACCACAAAGCAATAAGCAGCAACAGCAACAACATCAGCAGGACTCCCAGCACCCGCACCAGGAATGCCAGCAACAGGATCCTTCTGCACCTCAACAATTTCAACAAGTACCCCATATGCCTCACTTGTTCTAATAAGCTGATATACACACACTTTCTCTTTGACTATCCGTCTCACTACCTCTTTATAGCACCCCACTCTCTAGTGCGCCCTTTTTTTTTTTTTATCAAAAAGCATTTTATGATAAACAAGTACACTTGTCTAAACGTATATATATATAAAGGATTCTTGAAAACATACAAAAGGTGTTTTGAGTATTAAAAGAATTCCTTTTTCCTACCTGCGTACCACCACCACCACTACCAATAGCACTACCCAAATGTCTAGCGATCACCATGCTTTTGTTGATGATGAGGATCCATATTTTCCACCTGTACCTTCTCCTGTAGCTGGCCCTACTACTACTACTACAGATGATGGAGGAGAAGGAGGAGGATCTGACCAAGAGGAAGATTATCCACGGCGCCATCGCTATACGCCAGACCAACTCAGCATGTTGGAAGCATCGTTTGCACAAAGCTGTAGACCATCCAGGGAAGAGAAGCGTCGCTTAGCAGAAAGATTAAATGTTCAAGTAAACAAGATCCAGATATGGTTTCAGAACCGTCGAGCTCAATGTAAACGTCGCAACAGACAACAACAACAACAACAACAACAACAACAAGATGACAATAGCAATGATGAAGATGAAGATGATCCCTCTCCTCCCCCGCAACAGTTGTCCGTTGTAGGAACAGAGGATGATGATCCACCGGTTGCTCCTCAAGGAATGCAAGCAGCCCAAATTCGTAGACGCAGACCCGCTTCTGACATCTTGACTCACGAAATGGAACCTCCGCCGCACGATCCTTGTACGTAGTAAGTAGACTCCAAAAAAATAATGACTTTTTGTCCACCTCCTATAAAAGTTTAGTAAAAGCATGAAAACTAATAGGTATATGCGTTTTCCGGCGCTTGTTCTGTACCCCCGTGTATTCACAACGATAATCTCGGCAACAGAACATGATCGAAATAATAACAATAACAATGAGTGGAGCAAGAATGTATTGACTAGCAGTAGTAGTATTATTAGTAGTACTGTAGTAGCGATAATAACACATTGTTACATACTCAATCACGTAAGAAATTGACTGATCCTGGTATATTTTTTATGTGTTCAAAAAGGAAAGAGTGTGCGAGATGGTGATAAAAAAAGAGATTATAAATATAGGGTGGATGTTCTCTAATGATGTATGAAAATCTAAGAATAGTGTCACTGATGATACATGATGCGTCTCGTCTAGAAACTATCTTTTTCTTCTTCTAGGCCTGACCAAGCAACTCTTGTGGGGATGAAGCAATATGACTGACAACTACTCTTAATGAAAATGTTGTTAAATTCTTGGTCATTTTCATATAAAAAACGAAACAAAAGTGCTATATATACAATAAAAAACGCGCCTGTCTTTTACTTGCCTCGATGAATAAAGCTTTTCTTTTTCGTCAAGTCTGGCTTACGGTTCTCGTCTTGTTGCTCGTCATCCTTTCCCTTGACCTTTGGGAAGAATATATCCTGATGTTCATGCACAAATGACGTAATGTCTCTTGATAAATCATTGCGCATGACCCGCAGGATTTGGCCCACTTCAGGATTACGCACAGCCAAAAACAATGGCTTGATAGACCTAACCACGACGAACGATCAATCAATCATTAGAACAAGTGGTTCAGTTGATGCTATAACTTACTTGTAAATGTCAATCCCACGATCACCCAATCGCATCAAAATATAATGCAAGATAGGCTGCACGGCCCATGCCATGCACGCACGCATCATTTTGGTTTTCATCGTCAGTTCGGGCTTCCCTTTGATGAGATAGCCAAAGTAGAGTAGGGCGTAGAACCCATACAGCAAAGGGGCAGCGATGCCTGCGACAATGATTTTCCATGTGGCCAAGACATCCTTGCCTGCGATTTTAACCATGGATCCCGCCAGTGCCTCTACAAAACAAATCATCCTGCCATTATTACCACTAAAAGTGGGCATATTAGCTTATACACAGACACAGATCCGGCTCTCACCTTTTTGTTTCCGCTTGCTGATAGTGTTCGTGGCCCAAATGAGTGGCAGGTTGGAGATCAGTCTAGTGAACAACAGAATCGGGGAGGGGAATTGATTTTTAGTACGCCCAATGAGGTGACACATTACAAGTCCCAAGGATCTCTTACGCTGGAGCACCAAGGCCAGCCAAGACAAAGAGCTTTAGCAATCGTCGCATCAACAACAACGAAGCGCGCACGGGGGTGATATTCAACTTGTCCACCTGATGATCGCGAATACCCAAGAACGACAACGTGTCGTTATACAACTTGACCTTCCGCGTCAATGCCAACAGCCGAGGATCCTCCTTATTGAGCCGTGTCCAACCACCGACAAAATTACGATTCAATTCGACCACCTGTTGCAACGACGTCAACTTCTTTGTATTATACAACCGACGCGCAGCCTGAATCACCATTAACGTATCATAATCCGGTGCATTCGTCGTGACCGTCTTGAACGCCTCGTCGCTTTCATCCAACAACTGTGTGATTGCATCCCGTCTCTCTTTCCCACCACGTTTAAACTGTTCCACCAATGTTGGATGCACGGTCAAGGGCAGGCCAAACGAGACCACGGCGCGTGAACGGAACCTGTCAGGATGGAAATAATTCAATCCAACAGGCACGATTTTGAGTTTCTGGATCAGGTCTGGGTTTTCTGCCATGGCGCCCAATGCCATGACCGCAAAGCCGGCCTTGAGCGGTAACATTTCGGGTCGGTCGTGGCTGCCGCCTTCGGGAAACACCGTGATACATTCGTTTCTGTTCAGGTATGAATGGACCTCGTCGTAGACCGGCGTTTGATCCACATGCGGTGCTATTTTGAAACCGTCAAATTCGGTTATTGTGGAGATATTGGGGATGGCGTGCGTGATCTCGATTGACGTGTCGGATGTCACGCGTGCCACATGGCCCTTGTGGTTGTGGCCAAAGATAATAAAGTCGCGTGCTCCCAATTCTTTGCTGAAGCGTGTGTTGTGGCCAGTGATATGGAATGGGTCGTTTGTTGGATCATACGTGATTCTGCCAGTGCCTAAATGGACTATGTCCTGAGGCCGTACTACTGGAACTGATATAATCGGTAATTCCCGAAATTAAGTTGTGTCCAAGTCCTCTCTGCCTTGTTGTCTTTTTGCCGCCTCCCCCCTTTCCCTTCCCCTGCCTCCTTTTTTCTTCTCGCCCAGCACAACAAGAACGGACAGACGTACTGGCACTCAGGAATTTGCCGACATGGCCGATCAGAGGTCGGTTATACGAAACGGAAGCCATAAGCACATAAGAATGTCGAGGATTCCGGCTAAGCAAGGTGACGCCGTCAATAAACTGATTGGCATGAGGGCCGACAATGAAAATGCATGGATCGTCGGTCGGAACAAGGTGTGCACCGGTCGTTTGAATTTCTCGAAAAAATAAATGCGAGACGACACGGAAGCCGAGTCGGAAAGCAGTGTAAATGAGTGGAGGCGGTGGTGCGTAATCGGCCATTTTTTTTCTTTCTTTCTTATTTAAATAAAAAAGATCTTGTGGGTTGTGGGTGCAAGAGACAAACTAGGAGGAAGGAAGGAAAGGAGGTGTGGGGGAAGAACGGTATGGTCTCTGTGTGTGTTCGTGTGGAGAAGAAGTGGGGGAAATAGAAGAAGGAAAGGCAAGGAACGGGAGAGAGGAGGTGGGGAGTGGGGGTGGGGGTTGTATAGAAGAACGGATATGTAGAAGGTTTAGAGTAAGAGTGAGAGAAAAAAATAGAATTAGGCAATAACGTGGAGGTTGGGTGTGCCTTCGTTGAATGCTACACAGGTCACAGAGGCACCTTTTCTCCAAATGACACGTGAATCACGAATATTCCACATCACAAAGTTGACAATCGTGGCGGGTGTCTTTTATTTTCTCACGTTGTCATTAAAGCAACAATGGCTATATCTACATCTACTACATTTATGATTGCCGTTGTTGGATTTGGTACTTTTTGTATAGACATGACCTTCGCTTGATGAAAATTCAACCATGTCGAAGCAGTATTATCACAGCGATAGAGCCGAAAAAAGAAGTCCATCTACTCGAACCAAATGTACCTGGCAAACCTGTGACACTATAAAGCCTCGTCGATCAAAGAATCTGAAAGATCAATGCATATCACGGTGCATACTACGCCAAAGTATGCTTGGTGGCGTTGCCCTTTTTTTGTGTGTATCATCATTACATACTACTCATTTATATTATCATAAAAGAGTTCTGTTGTGCAGCAACGCACAACTACATACTATACCAGGTGTGCTTTATTTTCGACGGAATGGCAATAAGAGATGAAACAGATCTGTTCGCGCAAAATATTCCATAACGAATCGACAAACGATTTATCAGAAGGGAAGGACTGTCTATTAGTGAGTTAAAATCAAATTCAACTTTCAATCATACTACGAGCTATTTTGTAACTTCTAAACATCATATCATCATTCAAATAGTCTGGACGAATTGGATGTATATATGGAAACCGATAACAGAAAACAAAGCATGCGTAAAGGATGGTAAGCGATGTTTATTTTTTCTTTTACAAAGTGTATCATATACGAATCTTTAAGAAGAAGAAAAAGTTAATGCGGACAAATAGAATAAGATGGAAGCTGCAATGGAGAACGACTGGCAAAGGTACGTTTAAATAATACTAAAGGGAAGTTTATCTTCAGTATGATAGGCGAAAGATTAGAATGCAGATACGAACTTACGACAACCTTTTTAAGGATAGACGTAGACGTATCCAACATGGTTCCTGGTCCATATATGTATCAGGGTTCATCGCTTGAGCGATCCAGAGCGACAACAGCCGCATATTTAAAGTTCTTTTTCTTACAGTTCTATTGTAGATAATCCCTCCCATCGTCCATTGCAAAGTACGCATAGTTCTTTTAGCTCTTTATCAATAAACATATAGTATAACAAATACAATATCAAATCCTCCTATCCAACGGGAAGGTATCTCAGTCTTTGTGCTCTATTGTTTACACAGATACACATCATATCGCCAAGCGAGAGCTTTTTCGACGCGCTATAATCAAAGCAGTCTTTCGCTTTACTTACGGCAGTTGCTATTCTCCGCAGTAATAACACCTAATTTACTGTGAAAATTCATAAACCACGTTGCACATGTAGACTTGGCCTTATCGCAGGCTTCAACACAATCTTGCATATTCAGTCAATTATGGGTTTTTTGTGAATATATCTGCAAACATAACACGTGAACTGACAACGTCAAATCTTGTTTTTTACTCAACGTTACTGTTGCTATTGCAACCCACTGAGTAAACGCACTGGCCAAGAAATTTTGACATGGTGCAGTGTGTGGAAGAGATAAGTGGAGATGCGCATGTGAAACATTCCACACATGAATATAGGCAATAGGCATACAGGAGGGATGCACGCGCTATAGTGATGTGGATCATTGTTGCCATAGCACTTTGACTGCTTCTTTACCTCTTCACTTCTTCAAGTCAAAGAAACATAAAGTTGCTGATGCCCAGCAAAGAATGATCACTATCAATAAACCATTGAAAGAATTACATTTAAACAAATTATTTATAAAGTTTTATACCCTTGTGAATTCTGCAAAGACAAAAAGCAAAGATTCTTTATAGAGAATTCATAATTTTTCTTCTTTAAAAAATTAATTAGAAGAAGTACTGCATAAGTCCTAGACTTACACATTTACAGTATAGAGTAAGTTATACTGTAACTTAATATCCTCATTACTATTCTAGAGGGGGTTTTATTTAATAAATGCTTAAAATTTTTGTGTCACAAAAGTTTATTTTTAAATAATAATTACAGTATTATTTTTTATAAAATTATAATTAAATGTTTTTTTATTTGTTATTTTTTTTAAATTTAAAAAATTAAAATTCAAATCTTAAATGTTTCATCTTAAATTAATAAATACTTTTTTCAAAATTATTATTTATAAAAAGATAAAACATTATCATATATTATATATATAAAATAATATATTAAGAATATATAAAAAAATGAAATAACATTTTCTATCTTTTATTTAAAATATAATACATTAAGTGATATATCAATTAATACTTTAATCTATAATTAAAGCTTAGGCATCAGCACCTAGTAGTGGGATTTTAATTTTTATACTTAGCTTTCAAAGAAATTGGCGACTTTTTCTTTTTCCCCTTTTCTCTTTCTTCACCAGTGTTACTTATTATTAGGGGTCGCAATCTGACCCACAGGTCAAAACCAACCCGCGGGTTGAGGACGGGTCAACGGGTCGGGTTGATGCTTTTCTGACCCATGGGTCGACCCGTCCAACCCTTGACCTAACCCGTTGACCCGTCGTGACCCGTGTATACATATAATATGTATGAGGTACTTATATTTAAGTAGTCAATCTTCTTGTTGGGAAACATCATTAGTTGTCAATATGTCTGCTATAGAACTATAGCATAAAACGTACTTAATTCTTTTTATTGTGGGATTATACTTTATATTCAACAGTATGGGATAAGTAAGCTACAGTATAAGCAATATATATGATAGGAGTAAGGAAGTAGCAATAGTGCAATGAGAATATACCATAGAGGGTGGCAGTAAGAGACGTGATTTAACAAAAGACAGAAAAGTTGAGAAAAGAAAATCGAAGGAAGAAGAAAGAAGTGAAAGAAAAGGGAAAAGGGAAAAGGATAAGGGGCATATAGGGAAGTCGATTTTCAACCACACTTTAAATATTATGCTTTCTTTAAAGCATGTGAGCCCAAGCGATTTCTTTTGTGATGGCACAGAACCCTTTACCTTTAAGAATAATCACTCAAAACTTAGATGTTGCTAGCACTGCTAGGAATTTGCGTGCCATCATCTTAGAGAGCTATATATATATGGAGTTTTGCACTTCCAGCGCTCAAGTTCAGGCTGATCGACACTTCCTTCATCACTACATTGAAATCAGTCTTGACCCGTCAACCCGAGTTTTGACCCGTCGGGTTGAACGGGTCGGGTCGGGTCAGTGTTTTCTTGACCCACGGGTCAACAGGTCAGACCCTTGACCCGACCCGACCCGTCCAATTGCGACCCCTAGGCGGGCTGTACTAGGAACGCAAGATTTAATGCAGCTGGTAGCAGACATTTTCGCTAAATTTGAAATCTGCATGCGAAAGACGTTGCAAACAGGTTTGTGGCGAAAAATGGGGGGTGGCCTTTTTCAAGCAAAAGCAAAACACATTTTGGCTAGGAAGATTGCACACTGAGGCCGATAAAACAGTTTGTTCACCAGATGCAGAACAAATACCAACGTAAGAAAGAGATGATCTCTGTCGCGCCATTATTGTATCTTAAATGTATGCTTTGCCTCACAGTAGTAATGCTTATACTTTGACGTTTGAATCGGGCCCGAGTCTAGGAACCCTCTATTTTCTCGTGCTTACGTTGAAGTGATCGTGTTGATCTAAGTCCATAAGCCTCTCGCTCTAATACCAAACTGGAGGACTACCTAGATTTTTGTATGATCAAAAAGCAACATATCTACAGTAACTATAATCGCTTGTCACCTCGGTCGACTGATAATTATTCGTTTTTTTGCTCACCTTGCTTCCAAACATGAAGCAATCCGCAAAGTCCATATCAGATGTAAGATTTTATCACGTGCGTTGTCAAGTAGCTCCCAACGTTATTTGTATAAACAAAGGTGCTGTTACTGGTACTCTTTCGAAGCAACGTGTGCGACACTGTTGCCGTTGATATGTCACATGGTACACAAAGCTTAAGCGTTTCGTCCCTTAAAATAAAAAAAAACGCCAAAATCTATGTTTTTCTCCCCTTCTCTCAACAAAAGCACAAGCTACAAAAAGATATGTATGTCACGTACGACAGCTCACAGTTCACGATCGAGTTTACAGACCGTAGCCCTAGGGGTCCACATCGCCGGCCTCCAAAACGCGTACCGAGTTCCATACCGACACCGCCATTCAAACCAACCTACCTAGTCCGCATATCCGACATGAAGCGAGTGCTGGCAACAAATGTCAATGAGGGCTACTGTGCATTATCGTACTCGTGGAATTGGTCGGGTGACATAATTAAACACGAAAAAAATGACGATGAAGAACCAGAATACAGTCGGGAGGATCACGGCCAACACACTATGATTTACCAAGAGGAAACAAAACTAAACGTCACAATAACATCATCCGAGAGATCAAGGCGAAAAAGACAAAAAAAGATGATGCGGATACGATTTACGACACAACAAAAGCTCGCCAAATTCGAACGCCTTATTCAACACATCTGCAAGGATTTCAACATTCGCTATATCTGGTTTGACCAGACGTGCATTGACCAATCAGATCACGACCAAAGAAAGCAAGAGATCCAGCGCATGCATAAGATTTACAAGAACGCCTATTGTACACTCGTCTTACTACCCGAATTTCAAGTACAGCCTTGCATACCATGGCACGGCGGATCCAAACATGTATCCAACATGAACACGATTCTCGATTTTGAATGGTGTAAACGTGCATGGACGTTGGAAGAAGCATACATGGCATCCCGTCTCGTGTTTGTCGGCCGTAATGTACACATGTGGTCGCCCACAAAAGACGAACGTGCCATGCAACTTCCAACGCCTTCCGATAAGTTTCTTTATAATATCTGCACAACCCAAGCTATCCAATGGAATGCCAGTTCGGTGTTGTGGCATGCACGGAGACGCACGAGCAGTAAGGCGCACGATCGCGTTTTTGCACTGGCTAATATGTTTCCAGACATTATCCACCGTGTCGATTTTAGCTATAAGCAGCCGCTTGACGAGGCAATGGTACAATTCTATGGGACGCTTGCTCAGCATGACTTGTCAATATTATGCTTTGGTAGTCCTCTTACTGTTTCAAAACAACGCCCCAAAGACAATCACATCACTGCCGGAATGATTGTACGGCAGAAAGAAGAAGATCGACTACCCACTTGGACGGGTATACGAGGAATGCATATTATCCAAAGCGTGTCCGATCATGGGTTTATGACCACAAAGTTTGAGGCAGCACGACGTACGACAGTGTCCGGACGACAACTATGTATCTCTTGCCAGTCCATCAGTATTCGACTATCACCCCTCACCACAAATTCAAAACCAAGTAGTTACGAGTTCCAAGGACCGACATGGTGGAATAGGAACGGATTAGAGTTTGATCATGAGCTTCCAACAAGCGTTAGTCCTGCTGTTGTCGTTACCAGTGGTGCTAATGACTACAAAAGAGCAATGATGTTTATCTCGGACGGCGTGGATGACCAACTCAAGATGTACGCTGAAGAATATGCCTTGGATGCTACTCACTGGTTGCCTATGACGACCAGCAAAGATGGACTTTGGACGAATGCATTGCCAGACGATGACAAGAAAAAAGCCGATGGCGGGACAAAAGCGACAAACCACTATTGTGCCGGATGCTTGTCGCTTATTATCAGCCATCATACCCCAATTGAACAACAGCAAGAGCAGCACATATTCACTGAATATGCGATCCTTTCCGAAATTGCTTTTAGCACGTTGAATGATGAAGTCAAGGCTATGCCTGTAGTTGGGCGACGCAAGGCGGATGGGATTTACGAAGCTATTGGTCTGTGCTTTTTGGATATCTTGGTTCTAGAGCATCTCGATCCAGGCGTTGAAACAACACGCGAGTTCATCATTGAATGAAATAAGACACCTTTGATGTATCATTGTATTGTACCAAAGAAAGAATGTATACTTTTATATCAACACGGCACCTAGTCTGCTATTATCATCTCTTCTTGTTCGGTGCATACAACGCAGCACACATTATAATGCAGAGAAAATAAAGGATATTCAAGATTATTAGATAGATGGTATATAGAACTGCTAAGTGTCCATGTTTTATTTGGGTCGCTCATTCACTTTCAATTACAACGTTTCTTTTACCGCTTTCAATGCCGTTAGAGAAGGTTTGTTTTATAACAAAAAAAAAGAACATGAGATGATCTTCATTCTGTTTATGATACTTGAACAGGCTCAGTAAATAAAAAAAACAGGCGTCAAGCTCTTTATGCATGTAATCTATCATATGTGCATGGTAGTGCTTAAGGAGGGCATGCTCCGCACTTACAACATGTTTTATCTCGACCGCACGCCGTGGCTGTGTATTATACCCACACGGAAATAAATCCGGAAACCCGCATGAACCGCCATACAATAAGGGTTTTCGGGGGGCGCGTGTGTGTATACATACTGTATATAAACTGCCCTCACCAAAAACAAAATCAGTTACAAGGACAAAGCCAAGACATGAAAGAAAACACGAAAGTTGACGGTACACTAGAGTGAATTTAAGGGGCCAAGAAACGATATAGAATCAACTGTAGTGAGGCCCCTTTGTTACTCTTCCACACCCCCTCTTTATTACTTCTGGGCGGTTTTGATAGAATTCCTGGGCATAACAAGGCTTGGTATTTCTCTATACTGGATGGACACTACAACCCATCTTTGTCGATGTTGATCGTCAGTACGGTAGGGGTGAATAAATATTTGTCTTGGTAACGTCTTGGCTTTTTTGTTTCCACAAATGTATGTCCAAAGGGAAACGATAGTTGATAGCTACACCAGCTCATGTTGAAAACCACGCTGTACTTACTATTATTCTAGGAGGGCTCAAAGAAAAAGAAGAGGAAAAAGATGTATGTGCATGTATACGACTTTATATATTCATCATTATTCCAAGGGGAGATATACATACAGACATCACCCTCCATGCTGCCTCCTTAGAGATGTATTATTAGACGAAGACGAAGAAGAAAATGGAAGATCCAATCTTAATCTATCATTTGCATCACTAATTCGTCTGTTGTTAGGGACACGAAGCATCACCAGTGCTGCTTTCTCACTTGGGGCAAGAAGCTTGCATGAACATTCCATAAGCAACCGTTAAAGAAAGAGAGAGGGGGGTCAGGGCCAGTCTAAATTTTGTGTGTGGTGTACATGCATCATCATGTACGATATATACGGGACGGCAGTGCAGGTCATTTGAAACGTTTGATCGAGATACATCATGGTCTGGTCGCTGTCTTTCTAACGTCGAATTGACAAATCGTCCTTTTCTTAAAGATATGGATGTACTCTATATATACATATATATATATTGGAAAGATGGGCATAAGGCTTTTGATGATCTAGCGCACGCACGAACCCAAATATTGTAATTATAAAAAAAAGGAAGAATTTCGTTATATAAAAACAGGGACTTTCAACCTGCAGCTCCATTGCTTTTTTCTTCCACACTTTTTTTTTTCCGTACCTTAAAAAAGATAACAAAAAAGTTGCAAAAGGTTTCGTTAATCAAACAGAGACGGTCCTCATGACCGTAGCAACACCAGCAACTGAAGCAACTTTTACCTCTTCTTCTTCTTTTCCGCATTCTTCTTTTACTACTTCTACTTCTTCCTTTCCTTCTTCTTATAACGACGACAGCAAATACGACGCTAAAACTTCTCAGAAACCAGCGGCATCAGAAGACGAAGACGACGACGACGTCATTCTCACGATCGAACAACAACGACAACCTTTAATAATGACAGCTACTAGTAGTAGTAGTAGTAGTAACAATAATAAGGACACTGCTATTAGTATCGTGGTGGTAGAGGACGTCGACACCACTTCCAACAACACCAACAATTACAATGAAAAACAGCGAGAACAGCAGCAAAGAAATGTTACTTTTCGCGAAAGACTCAGCTTTGACCGAACTCCTTCTTATTACAGTGAGGAGATGCCCATGAACCCTTGGGAGAGTACATACAGCAGCAAGCGCCAAATGCTCCGACAATTGACCTCCTTTTTCTTCGTCCTGGTCATCACCGTGGGGATCCCCTTGACACTCTACTTTACCACCCGGAACCATATTGAAGCCATCCATTCTTTGCTGATCTGCGCTGTGTTGCCACTCCTGTACACCATCCATGTCCTCATCCGTCACAGGCGGCTCGACGTGTTTAGCTTTTTGTTAATGTTGGATTATGTGATTGCTGGCTTGGTCTCCCTGGCAACAGGTACTTTAAAACTCTTTATTTCATTCTAGTACATATATAACGATACAAAAGTATATATGCATCAAGACGAGTCGCGAAAAATTGAGGAAAGCTCGGAAACAATGAGACAGAGGATGCAATGTTTTATTAATAGAAGCATGCATATATATCTCTTAGGCGACGCAACAATCACTACTTTACGCGACTCGGCAGCGACAGCCGTCGTTTCCTTGGTATTCTATGCAACCATGATCCCGCTCCGAATACGGGTCCCACGACGACTACGCAAGAAAGAAGAAGAAGAAAATAAAGAGGACACATGGTTTACCAATATTCGACCACTCACGTTTATTCTCAGCACGGAAATGTTGATCGATCCGCATGCCAAATACCGGTGGATCAATGCAAAAGGGATGCGCCAAGAAATGAGTGTGGTGGACTGGATCTGGTCAGTGCGCAAGGTCCGTATCTACCACTACTGGTTGACGGGCGGATGGGCGACCTGTTTATTGGTGGACTATATTATCCGTGTCATCATGGTCCTTGGCACCAATGTCTCCGTACACATGGTCTATCTCTCTGGGAGTATCATTGTCATGATCGAACTAGTGATTATGACCGCACTGGGCGTGATTGTCGCGGTGCTCACCCGGCGCGTCACGAGAGATTGGGTGCGAGACAATGATTATACCGAGAAATATGGATGGAAGGTCGAGCAGTTGCGGCCTTCTTCTGAAGATAGCGACAGTAATGGCCAAGAAGAAGAGTATGATGACCCTCATCATGATGTATAGTCTTTTTATTATTACTACTCTTATTATTACTTTTATTCCTAATATTTTCTCTCCCCAATGTTGTTTTCTCCCTCTCTGTTTCTCTCTAGTTTTCTTACCAAGATTCGTATTTTTATATAACTAATGCACTTTTACATAATGTTCGTCTTTGCACCCCCTCCGCCAGTGTACATAAACAAGAAAATTACTATCTTAGAATTGCCCAGTTGCTGGCGTTTGTCTGTCTTTCTGTCTGTCTGTTGTTTGTGTGACAAAAACAAAACTTGGCGCTGGAATGACAGCTTGGCGTTTGCTTGTGCTGGGCAACTCATAAAACACAGCGACACCCCTTACGAGCTCTTTGATTTTATCATGCCTCCAAGCAATCACCTTGATGAATTCGTATCCATCAACTATACACTATTATAGGGAGAAACACTATTCATTTCAAGGTAGAAATGTATTCCTTATTGTTGTCCGTTATTCATCAACATCACTAGATCACACTAATCATATAGTATCGTACTATGTACTACATGATACATAGTCTTAATCTCTCCCTATTAGATCCTTAACGGAAACCTTTCTTTTTCAAAAAGCAAAATGGTTCTTATTTTAATTCTGTTGTTGTGACTTTATAGGATATAAATTACGTGATCTATGCATCAAAGTCTTCTAAAACAAAATATAAAGATGGATTCATTGGTTAAGACTTGTACGCTAGACACCTACCACAAACACACACAATCCCACTTCTTAGATAAACGTTCACCTTCATCAATACCGTTGATAGCATGGAATACAAAGGCCATGCCATTGGCCGCACATTGCATGCCAAATCCCTTGTACAATCCACGAATACCCCAAGCGCTGCTCAAAGTATTTGTTGCCTTTTTCTTTGATGGTGGCGGAGGCAAGAAATCATCTTCACTATCACTTGTAGTAGTATCCGATAACGATGACGACTTTTTCTTGGTATTATGAACGGCAGACGAGCGCTTTTCCTTTGTTCCTTCCTCCTTCATGATCTTGTACAATGCATCCAATACCCCCTTGTAAGGCACTGGGCGAATAGCAACGGCTGTTTCATATCTTTGTTGTTCCTTGTTCGATGATGATGATGATGATGTTGGTACCTGCACATGCAGTCGTTTTCGGATCGTTTCCAAAGGAAGTGTGACCAATAAGCCCAAGGTTCGGATCGTCAGTTCTGCAGCACCATAGAGAATAGGTGAGTCTTGAGCTGAAATGCCCAATGTGCGGTCAATAACAATAGGGATGCTGCTCGCTAATAAAGGTCGGACGGTATGGTACAGGATCGTTGGTGCAAGGTTTTGTGACAGGTAAATGGCGCGGACACCGCCTTCTTCACGCACCATTGTGCGGAAAGCGTGGATGATGCCCTTGTATTTACTGTTCTGTGGCGATGCTGACTGTATTATTAATCTGACCATATTTGTTTGTCGTGGTGAGTTCAAGTCTATCCTCTGTCAACTGTATTTCCACAGACAGGCTTCTTTTATAAACCAAATTACCTTGTACGGATAATCTCCAATGGACTTAGCAGCACACCTACTACAATGTGACTCACAACCATGGTGATCAAGTTGGGACCAATGCGCTCAAGATGCATAAGGGGTATAGTATCGTCGTACAGACCAAACACGTCGTTCAAGGTACTTTCGAATCCGGGTTGCAAACATCCCCACAACATTTCATACATCCAAGTGACGCGCTGTCCTAGATACATATATTTGTTAGCCCCCTTTTCTTATTTGTCATCCTTTCTTCGTTTGCATTTTACCTTTAAATAACGATTTCCATCCTTCTGTCGGTTGTTTCATGATACGGCCCAGAATATCCAACACGCCACCATCCATGGGCGCCATTTGATAGACAGGTCTGGATTGATCATCATAAACGCTACGACTACTACCCGTTTCTGTGTTGCTCAAATCGTTTCGACTACGACGCATCTTTGATTTACTGCTCCATTGGCTACTCGTTTCTGTCTTTTGTTGTTGCTGTTGAGGTCGCGTTCCAAAAAATCCTCCTTCTTCGTCTGAAGAAGACGACGATAACAACTCGTCAAACGACCGTGTATTCTATTTCCCAAAAAAAAAAAATTAGTACCTTTTAATGTACCACCCGTGGTCTGTAATAGTAATAGTTTTGACACTTCGAGAGAGAGAGGAGAATCAAACTTACATTGGCAGTTGTAGTTGTCGTTGTTGTTGGTTCTTGTACTAATACAGCTGCGTTGTTTCGAAATCCAAAGACCTCGACACTTTCATGAGGCGCATATTGAACCTGCAGCAAAGTCGTGCCGACTTCAAATGGGCTGGTAAACATGGTCATGAAATATTTAAAGGCAGCGAAACTGGTGAATTTGGTCGTGGTGCTTTTTAATGGAATGCCCTGATCGTAATCGACAAACACTTGTGGTGTGTGACCCGGGATTGAATCGCTCGAAGGGAGGGATGTGTAGTTGTGTTGGTGGTGTAAACCCGGTGTATAGTATGGACGCAGCGGGTTGTACCCGGCTTGCTGTTGCCCCGTGGTTTGGTAGTCCCTCATTGACATTGTTTTGTCTGTGACAAGTTTATTTACTACGAGGTTAAGAAAAGAGAGGGAGAAGAGACGTACACCGTGTGACCCAAACCAACCAACCGCCGCGGTTTGTATGGGATCGTCGGGTTCGGGATTTTCAACACTATCACTTTATGCCAAAGAGTTTTATGCACGGCTATGTAGTATGACTATTTTTTATCCTACACTTTTTGTTGAGAAAAATGTATACAGCAATGTAAGACATGTATTTTCGCGCCTACAGTAGACTTCATTCGCTTTGAACTCATGGCGTATGTTTAGATCTAGCGCTAATACTATAGCAACACTCTGTGTGTTAGAATAGAAGAATGCTCTTTGTATTTATATATATAGTTACGAATGATGGATATATGCACGGTTGAAGATGACGGATGACGCTGATGATGATGATGATGATGATGAGGAGGAGGAGGGCGGAAGGAAGATTGCAGAACTCTTATGGTTAGAAAGGAATACAAGTATAAGCTGTACGAACGGTAGTAGTAGTAGTAGAAGTAGTAGTTGCGAGGGAAGGGGAATTAAAAGATTAGTGTGGTAGAAAGTACAAAAAAGGGTTTAGGGTCTATACATAAATTGAATGTCATGAACATCTGTCAGGTTTATGAAACCATGACCATCAGTAGTACTGTTACCGGTAGTAACAAAACTGGCACGTTTCTTCTTGACAATACTCTCGGTGCTGTCATTATTCCAGCCGCTATCCAATGCCACCTCGTCTTGTGCTGCCAAACGATTGTCTCGATCGCGATACAAGCTCCGTCCAATATAATACAACAAACAGATCGACACAAGCTCGGCGAAAATAAACATGATCATGATAGGAATTGCTGCGGTGGGATCACCATCGCCATATGGATCATCCTTGCCATAACGACGCAGCAATATGGGACCGATGAAATGTCCCAGGTTGATGGCAAACACATTGGTGACAATATAAAAGATGGCTTTGGTATAGCCAGAGACGTTGCTAGAAATCAAGGCTTGCGTACCGGCAGTGGCGAAATTCGTCGGCGAGAAGACCAGACCCACCATTTTCCCCGTTGTAGCATTCAGAGAAGAGCAAACTGCCAAGATGATCATGCCGATCAATGGAATAAACGAGAAGCCAGTAACGGTGTAGGCGATATGGTTCCGTAACCGGGATTTTAAAACTTGGCGTGCATAAAAGACGTATGTCAGGATATCATAGATGCCGCGTGGAAGATTCAATGCAACAGATTTTGGACCCTGATAGTGTATAGTTAGAAAAGCGTGACCCCATGTGTGGTGGTTTTGTTAGCATATGTGTTGTTTTAAGTACTGGTAGTAATAGTAGTAGTAGTAGTACACTAATAAAGTTTTTTCTTCTTTTTCTTACATTAAATCCCATTTCTTGGATGATTTGGGCGCTAAAGTCACCAATGCAGCCCATTGGCATACTGACGAGAAACGCAATCACTGCTTGACAGTAGTATCGGGGTTCGCTCAATGCTTCTTGTATATGGGACCAATGGATTTGAGTGTCGCGCACCATGGCGTTTTCACTCACGCGTGCATCCACAATATCTTCTTGCTCGGCCGATAGTCCAAATCTCTTGGAATAGGGATCGTCAGGTAAATAAATGCACGAAGCAATGCTAGCTGCTATGGTGATGGTCCCCCAAATCAACGTGACCCTAAATGCATTGTAAATAAAGAAAATATTAATGTGTGTTATTAACGCCTAGCATAAATGTAAATTCTTCTACATATGTAAAACACATGTGTCATTAATTAGCAGGAAGAAATAATACTTGCCATTTCCAAGCGCTTATGCCGTGTGCATCTAATAAATAATAATAATAATAAACAATGGTGGTTTCATTAGCAACAATAACAACGAAGAAGAAGAAGAAGTAATAGTAGATATATGACAACACTTACCACCAACGTGACTAAATCCAAAAGTTAAAAGACTGCCAAACGACACAGCAGCAGTCATTGCAGTATAACAAAAGCCGATATACAGCAACTGTTCCGAGCGACGATAGATGGATTTGATGAGTATAAAAGCTGCAGGCAGGACAGCAGCTTCACACATGCCCAATAAAATGCGACATGCCAGCAATCCCTGGAAATTCGTGCATGCCATCATGCATGTAAGCACTATGCCCCACAAGACCATCGTCATGCTCATCACTTTGGCCGGACGAAACTTGTGTACCAGGTAAAACCCTGCGGGTATCTATAGTTTGTCATTATTAACACTATACATCAAGATTGTAGAAAAACATACAAGATCCCCTTTTATGATATGTAGTAGAGATCCAAGAAAGCAACAAACAACAACATACCAACATAGCCATTGTACCTAGATGGAGCGACGGACCAAGCCAACGAAATTGGTCAAGTGTAACATCTGTGTTACCATACATGCCCAATGGTCCTGTATAATTCAGCACTTGTTTATCGATTTGCTGTATGATTGTTATTATTATTATTTAGTTCTGGGGAACAACGGCCATCAAGAAAAATGAAAGGATGATGGGGGAGGGGGGGAAGGTACCTGAAGGAACATGATTACTGCCAAGAAGGGCAGGATCCTAAAGTTAATCCTATAGATAACTTTCCCGTCTGACGACGATGCAGCAGTTGACCCTTTTTCCTTTTTCTTTTCCGGCAGTGACGACAACCCGTTGTTGTTGTCTTCCGACGACGAAAAAGAAGGAGCAATGCCATAATCCTCTTGGAACACGATTGACGAGTCACGATGACCACTGCTTAATGCAAAAGAGTCATGGCGCAGAATCACTCGGTCTTTGTTGTCATTGTCTTTACTTTTCTCTGGGTCGTGGCTGCTGTGGTTGTGGTGGTTGGGAAGAAGCATAAAATAGTGAATAGTATATAGAAAAGTGAGAAACCCATATTTTTTTTTCTCTCTGATCTAATACGTAGTGGTTTCTAATAATGCCAAGGCTAAAGATGGTAAAGGTCCGCTCTCCCCTCCCTCTCTCTCTCTCTCTGTCCCTTTATTCTCTCCGCTTAGCCCAAATGTTAGGCAAAGCGGGAAATAGGTACCACCTTGATTCTTTTCCGCCAATTCTTAACTATTGAAACCTCGGGTTTCATATTCTTTTGCCCAGGAGTCATAATGTTTTATATTTAATTTACCAGACGAAATAAACAATGATGCAGCAAACAAGTACTACTGTATCCCATGTGTCTTTTATGCCAACACTTTATATGTAAAAGAGAGAGAGAGAGAGTGTGTGTGTGTGTATCTATAATATAATATTTTCACACACTATTAGCTCTGTTTCTTTTTTGTATTTGTACAATCTACTATTTTGGTGGGTTGGGGGCGGGGTTGTGTTTACATGAGACAAAATAGAGTAAACATGAAGGGCACGTATAGAGGGTGGGGGAATATCATTTTACAATCAATTGATCCAAAGAACGACATTGTATAGTGCTGGTATAACAACACCATGGATCATCGTTCCCTTGATCCTCATAAGCATCAGACAGAACAAACCGAGGCAATGCATTGATGGTCACCAACTGAACAAGTCGGATCGGATAATCATCAAAAGCTAGCAGTACGCCGGAATAATCCGTCAATGAAACGCCTTGCAACACAATCTTTTGCATGACATGATTGGGCATGTACAGTGTAAATGATGCATTATTTCTTTTCTGCGACAAGAGTAGCAAGCTGCAATCGACGAGGGCGAGCTGATTGAGCCGTGGACATCGAAGAATGACTGAATCGAGCGCTGAATCGCATACCCAGCTACGTTTGAGGATCATTGCGCGGAGTGGATGATGATGATGTTGCTGTTCTTTTGGGTCGACAACAGTAACCGAGGCGTTTCGTTGGCCGCGCTCTAAACTGACAGCTTCGGCATTGAGTTGGCGGAGAAACGGTAAATGTGTCAGGAGCATGTCGATGTTTAATGTATGCGGAAAATCACTACTACTACTACTACTAGTACTACTGCTGCTGCTGCTGCTGCCTGCTCCTACTATATCTTCTTGCTGTTGTTTGCCAATCAAGTCGAGCTGAACAATGTTGCTGCTGTTGTTGTAAGAGTGGATGGGGTGATGAAACTTTAAACGTATATCAAAGAGATCGACGGGTGCATCTGCAAGTGCATGTTGAATGTCCGATGTGGTGCATTTGTTGTTATGGTAGTAAGGGTGGTGGTGGTGATAATGGCGTTGGAGGTCATGGGGCGTCCTCGTCGTCGTCAAAGTAGATGGTTGCATTCTCATTCTCGTCATTAGATTATGATGACTACTCCGAGAAAGAGGATGTTTGGATGAAGAACGCAGACACGCTATGAAACGCACTAGCTCATTTTGAATTTGACCCAAATGATCAAGCGATAATCCGTGTCTCGTTAGCACCACATCGTATTGGCTGTTGTTGTTGTTCGGAGATGATAAAGTCGACGACGATGTCGACTCCGTAATGATATGACTACCGAGTTTCAGCCGATCAAGGTTTAAATAGGTGGATAGTATATATTCCATCCATCCACTCGTCATGATAGCATCGTAACCATGAAAGGGAGCTGTTGTGGTTATGCAAAGACGCTGCAGCTGTTGGAGTGGAAGCCCGCGCTTTTTCTTGCTAGTATCACCCCTCGTGGTAATGTCATCATCATCGTCGCTGTTGCTATCTGGCGGAATAATGGTATCATTGTTATAGGGCAGGTGACATAGAAACTCCACAGAGAGATTCAGGTCCGTCAGAGTAGGACACGCTTGGTGGATCATTTCTAGATGGTCGACCCGAAGTGCCCTAAATATCTTTTGCAGTGAAAGTGAGCGCAAGTTGCTTGGTATCGATTTGAATAGTATTTGATCCATGGAGGATGGCATTGCTGCTGCTGGATCGTAGCTGGTATAATACAACATTTCTTGATCGTAATAGTCGTCCACATATTCATTGTTGCTAGGATCGTCATGATCAGAGCTGAAATCGTCGTCCTCGTCTTCTTCTTCATAGTGAAAGTAAAGTCTATCGATTTGCTGCTGCTGCTGCTGCTGTTGTAAACATTTCCGTCGCCGTCGATCATGATTTTGGCAATCATAGTCAAGTGTCAGATGGTATAACGACGGAAACAGCGATACCGGGAGCTGTTGCAGCTGCATGATGCCAATAACATTGAGGTGAAGCACGTCAATGTTGGGACACAGTTCGCACAGTTCTCGCCAATCGTGTAGAGATAATAAGCTACTGCCGCTCTTAGTGTCGCTATTCTGAAAAGACACCTCGCGTACCCATTGACCTGGGTCTGGATAATAATGAAGAGCAGAAGGATTATGATGATATCGTTCTTGATGTTGTCGGGCATGCTTCAGGAATGTGTGGTAGCGTTTCCGTGTCGAAACGTCGATGGCCTTGTACAAGAAGCGCCGAAAAAATGCATACCACTGACGATTGACTTTGCAACAGGATCCGTGATCGTGCCGTGCAAGTTGATCGGCAATGGCGGTCAGGATCTCTACTGGCAAGAGAGAAACTGGGTTTGTCTTGCTCCGCAAAAGCTGCTGTTCTGAGTGTGGCATGTAAAAAGCACAGAGAATGAGAGAGAAAGAGAGAAAGAGAGAAAGAGAAAGGAAGAAGAAGAAGAAGAAGAAGAAGAGAGAAGGAATGATCTTTTGTACAGGGCAGGGCAGGACAGGTCAGGACAGGGCTCATGATTTATCAAAACTGAAATGTTGCAGGATTACTCTTGGGATAACCCGAGCTCCGATCTCAGCGATCCTTCCTTTCATTTAATCTGTAATCAATCATCACTCTCGCTCTCTCTCCGCACCACGCACCCAATTTCAAATGCATGAAATTGATGTCGTCTCCGCCGTCGTCCGCTTTTTCTTCCTTCCGCTCTTTCACTCTTTTAATTAGACATCATGGCTGTTCGTGCAGCGTTAGCAGCAAGAACAAGTATTCTTTCTCGTACGACCACCACCAGTATCGCGTCTGCTTCCAAGGTAGGACAACCCTTGCTCTTTTTTATATTTGTGTGTGCTGTTTGAAGTGATAGACACACACACTTTTCCATTATTTAGCGTGCTTTGTCAACCAGCGCGACGTGGCGTTTCACTGGCACCACGCCTATAGCAGCAGGCAATGGTGGTGCTGAAGACAAGCCAGACACTTCTGAAAGGATCACCATTACACTTCCAGAAGAGTCGTTCACAATGTACAAGCTTGACGAAAAGCCGGATCTGAATGTTGAAATCGGCAAAGACAAGTTAATGACAATGTACACGAAAATGACAACCATGCGACGTATGGAAATGGCAGCCGACGGTCTATACAAGGCTAAAAAGATCCGTGGATTTTGTCACTTGTGTACTGGACAAGTAAGATCTATAGATACATGTATGTAGACGCGCGTAACAACAACATTGCATTTGTTTTAATATCACGGACTCGTGATGTAATAGGAAGCAGTTCCAGTGGGTATGGAAGCAGCCATCAAACCGGATGACAATGTGATCACTGCGTACCGCTGTCACGGCTTCACGTATGTGCATGGTGGCACCATCAAAAGCATCCTCGCAGAACTGATGGGTAAATATGAAGGCATTTCCAAGGGCAAAGGTGGGTCCATGCACATGTTTGCAAAGTCATTCTATGGTGGCAACGGTATCGTTGGTGCTCAGGTAACATACATGTCACCAAGATTTCTATAATTATCCTAATTGCTTATAATGATGTCACTCTTCCCTCCAAAAAAAAATAACAAACTGAAACTAAAATTTTGTTTAGGTGCCATTAGGGGCTGGTATTGCATTCACTCAGAAATACCTCGGTGTTCCTGCTGCCACATTTGTCTTGTATGGCGATGGTGCGGCCAACCAAGGACAAGTGTTTGAAGCGTTCAATATGGCAGCACTTTGGGACTTGCCTTGTGTAAGGAAACACAAACGGAAAAGAGAACAGAAGCAAGAAAAGAAGGTACTCATCCTGAAGGTGAGGGCTTTTACGTATTTGTTAGGTCTTTGTTTGCGAGAATAACAAGTATGGCATGGGCACATCAGACGAGCGATCATCGGCTTCAACCGACTACTATACGCGGGGAGATTATATTCCTGGTATCCAGGTAATGCGTTTTGTTACTATGCAGTATACGCGGGGGCCACACACACACACACACAGCCAGTAAACAGATGTGTGCCGACGCTATCATTTAGGTAAATGGCATGGATTCACTTGCAGTGTATCGAGCATGCCAATACGCCAAGGAGTACACAGGATCAGGCAACGGACCCTTAGTGATAGAATTCGTCACGTATCGCTACGGCGGCCATTCCATGTCGGATCCCGGCACCACTTACCGTACGCGTGAAGAAATCCAGCACATGCGCTCTACCTCAGACCCAATCACAGCAATGAAACATGTGTTACTCAAACACAATGTTGCCACCGAGGATGAGCTCAAAGCCATTGACAAAGAGGCGCGCAAGTTGGTGGATGCGGCTACCAAGGAGGCGGAAAGCTCGCCCGATCCGGATCAGAAGGAGTTTTGGACCGACGTGTACTTGCCTGGAAGTGAGCCTGACGTCATTCGTGGTCGTGTTCCATCGGAATCTCATCGTTATCATTGAGAAAATAATCCGGCTACAATTGCATTACACTCCCACAATAAAAGTCTGGAAAGTCTCATTATATTACTCAAAGTTAGATCTGCAGAAGGCTCATAGTGCAGCGTCGTCGATGATGACCTCTTCTTTTTCATCCATGCATAATGGCATATGCTTGTGTAACAGTCCTAACTCCTAGGAACCCATCCTGCAGAAAAGGACGCCCTCTTATGTCACAGCTGGTTCCTCTCGACCCACACAACTGTTTTTAATTTCCCGTAGCTTGCTTTTTATACATATACCTATAAACACCAAAGCATGCGCTGGCTAACATCAGCCATTGTCGTTGCATTCATTGCAACACTAATTTCCTACAACAGTATCACCATCACTACTACTGCCGCAGCGCAAGTTCAACAAACTGTCCTTCAAGCACCCGCTCCCGAGAAACGTGTCGCCATTATTGGTCGGTGTAGAAACAATGAGTCCAAAGAAAAAAACCATTGTTAAACTTTTTTTCCTGCTTTTTTTTCCCACTTCCAGGCGGCGGTGCAGCAGGAACGTCAGCAGCATATTGGATAAATAACGCTTTCCCCAAAGGCATTAGTGATAGCGTAAAAGTGTCTGCCACGATCTATGAACGAAACAGTTATTTGGGGGGTCGAAGCACCGTTGTGCCCATCAAAGACGATCCTGCTCTTGGATTGATTGAAGTGGGTGCCTCCATCTATATTGAGCGCAACTATAACTTGATGAACGCAACAGAACGATTTGGACTGGAGCGTACGCGATTAGTCGATGGCGAGGATGATGACGGCAGGATACGAAGCAAAAAAGGGCTTGGCATATGGGATGGTGAGCAGTTTCTTTTTGAAGAGTCCGGGAACGATTATTGGGACTCTATCAAGATACTCTGGCGTTATGGATATTCGCCTGTCAAGGTACAAAGTCATTAAATAAAAGAAATGTTTTATTGCTCACTTTGCTAACAAACGTAGAATATGCTTACTAGTTTAAAAACCATCTCAAAGCAATTATTGAACGGTTCAGCGAAGGTGTCTACCATGACGACGACTCCATTCCTGCGTTTCGAGACGTCGGAGAAGCATTAGCCTTATTTGGCATTGATGCCTTGGTCAATGAAACAGCTGCCGACTATTTGGAAAAGCGGCACGGCATTTCTGAGAAATTTGTACGCGAAATCATCCAAACGGCATCAAGAGCAAACTATGGTCAGGATGTAGAAGCATTGCATGCATTTGGAGCTTTGGCAAGTTTCTCTTGAACGACAAAAGTTGGGGAAAACGACAAACGGGTTTGTCTAATATATGGGACACGTCTTTCTTTTAGGTGTCCATGGCAGCATCCGGCTCGTGGGCTACAAAAGGAGGCAATTTCCAGATATTCGAAGAATTCGCAAAACGTTCAGGAGCAGCTATTGAGTTGGAAACGGCTGTCATGGAAGTCCAGAACATCACGGTTTTTGATGAGCATACGGGTGAGCCAGTACAGAGATACGTGGTGATCACTGAGGATGGCATGGACATTTATGATACAGTCCTCATGACGGCTCCTTTGGTAACGTGTACAACCTTTACCCATACACACCATCTTCTTTATGGAAAAAGGATCACTTGTGCTGACGTTTGATATACACTACAATATGATATGCTGGCTTATTATTAGCATTCTGTTGGAATTGAATTGCCATACTCTACTGTACTGCCTGCTCATCGTCAATACCATACTGTTCATGTGACAATGGTTGCGGGCGTACCCGACCCAAGCTACTTTGGCAGGACTCAAGAGACTATGCCTACAATGGTTGTATCTACTGGCTCGCCATTAAGTAATTAAATGGCCTTTTCTTTAATATTTTTCTGCTCTATTATTTTTGGGTCATTATTACTGTATAAAACTAAAGAAGCTTCTTTTTTGTAACAGCGGATCATTTTTCAGGTGGCGAACAACCATTCACGACATTCGCTATCCATAAATATCTTGACGATACTGGCGAAAGCGTGGTCAAGATGTTTTCTTCAAAAGCCATGTCTGAAGACGCGTTGGATCGATTGTTTGTCAGTCGCAGCTGGACATTGAGAAAGGAATGGGAGGCGTTCCCAGACTTGGTCCCTATCACAGAGGATGGTTGGCCAACAATGATACTGGATGGGTTTAACAAGGAAGAAGACAATGGGATTCTGTATATCAATGCTTTTGAGAGCTGCATCTCGGTATGTATGAGAAGTTCTATATTGTGTTTGTGTGGATGGATAATCAGAAACCGTCTTGATTGGTATTGTAGCTAAGTGATGACAATGGTGGTATATGATAGACAATGGAAACGGAGACAGTGGCTAGCAAGAATGCTGTGCGATTTTTACGCGAGCAATGGTGTGGGGACGCTTATTGTGTTCCGTTCGGCGACGGCTGGGGAGATGATTGAGCAGCATGTACAGTAAGTAATACATGATTACTTGCTTGTTATAAACACTGCTATTTCCACTCACTCTATAAACGTACTAAATATTTCTTTTCCACCGAATCTATCTCGTTGTGGTCATCTTAAAAGCGCATCTACTCAGTACAGCATTTTTCCTCTCACATACTGTTAAACATCATGCTGTTGTTGATGTTAGTAGTCTTCCTCTTTGTTTTTATACACTACCTCAGCTATGTATTATTATAGTAGTTTCTTAAGCGGGACAGGATATATTTGCCCCCATTCCACATATTTCTTTCTTCTTGAATCATAAACCGAATTATATGTCAATACTTAACCGTATCTTTTTAAGTTTTTATCATACGTTATCAATAACAATTTGTGTTGTTAATATGGAAAAGCCAGTTAAACAAACGGTATCAAAATCAATAATTTAATCCTTGCTTCTTGTTCTTCTTTCTTCCATCCGCTGTTTTCGTCTAATAAAAATGATAAAAACGACAGTAACCGCAATCTACCTGTTTACAGGTTTCATTGGACCCGCTTCTTACAATTCTGCTCTATAATAGGAGACCTGTTCACATTATTATATACAGTATCATAGCGCCGTTTCTTCGTCTTCCGACTCTAACTCAAATAGCTGTGAACCGTCGTCTGCATTTGATGTCGACAGCAGCGCCACTTAAACACAGCCAGAGTGTGTGAATATATATGTGCTAGAAAGTACGTCCAACCCATATTTAACACTGGAGGGGTGTATTATATTAACCTTCTTTATGAGAACTCGCGTGTCCCTCTTGTGGAGCGCTAATTGAGGACTATTGGCGTCTCACAACTAGGAAATGCCGAAATTTTAACATGTATAAGGACTTACATACTGGACCCACATTTATTTAGAGATGTTGCCGTGGACAACGCGTCTCTTGTAGGTTGTTTCGCGATCCCAGCAAAGTTGTAGAATTGTATTCGCAGACAAGCTGCTCAGACACGCCAGCCAACAGTGCAACTCCTTGGCACGCTCTTTTCGTGCCCTGATTGTGGTCTCTGGTATTGCTGTACACATGTACTAATCCACACCAGGCAGATTGAGAATGTTGTCGACACTAATTTTTTCGCGTCTCCCATATGTTGTCCGTGGAAATCGGTTTTGTTTATACGCGTCATACCCCATTCCGTGTGTTACATGGCAGCCTGTCTCTAGCACAGATAGGTTAATGCATCATGCTGAATTACTTGGTCTGTGAGTTTTACGTCTGTAGATATTATCTAGAAACCCAAAAAAACCCTTGTGATACAGATCCGTTTGGTGCCAAAGATGAAAGTGAGCCGACAGTATCTCTGATACTTTCACATCTCCTCCTACATAAGTGCTACTGATCCGCACATGTCATTTAGACGCTGACCAAGGGTATCGACTTCTTTTGCCTAGGAGAGTACCGATCGTGCAAGTGCAAGTATTGAATCGCTGTTGCCGATGATAACATTGATTTGGGGGTCCGTCTGTATTTTCTCTGTGATACTTTATTATTGACAAAGAGGAAGAAGGAAATAGAAAAGGAATGAACATGTAGTCAAACAGCAAGGGAAAGAATATAAGGAGAGAAGGATCAACTATGAAATTACTATAGAAACCGCAATTTGCCACGTTCGTTGTCTACCCAACAAAAGTAATTACGTATTGGCGTACTTTGAGCACTCCATGCTTTACATGAACCACCGTTTATTTTCAAGCCGTTCCGTCTGTGCACTACTCCGTGCCACTGTCATTGGCCTTTTTAGCCTCTTATACAGTATACTTTCACCAATGCAAGTAATCTGGCAGCGCCTCCATCGTAATGTAGGCTAGAAGCACACTACCCTAATTTTACATGAATATATATGCCTGGATTGCTGGCACAACTGTTACGCTGCCCGTTGGTGTTAAAGGTCTTCCTCAGGCGCACATTATCATTCTTTCTTGTCGATCCATCAGAGGATGACAATGAAGGAAAGGTGTTAGTATATGGAAATGAAGAGGGAAAAACAGCCTGTGCTATGTCAGAATGAAAGGCTGTACTTTAATTAGGTTGTGATAATTATCTCAATTGAGTGGTCAGGTGTGTGCTGGGGTGGTCCTGGTTGAAAAGAGAAAAATCTGAATACTATGATAAAGTCGGTTACCTTTCCTACGGTGTGCGAATTCTCGCGTGGAACGGGCTTTTTCTTGACCCGGAAGTGATCCGGGACGCGTAGAGGTGTTACACAGCATGATACTTGTGTCCTCTCACTGTGAAATTACACGCAAGTCCTGCATAATAGGCCGTTGAATGTTTTGTGGATAGAGTGTACTCAACTTGCTCTTTTTACCAGTTCACCCAACAAAACGAGGAAAAAAAAAGAAGTGGAATACCAATGCGAGCCCTAACTACGTTGCCCCTTGAAATCCGATATGCTATTTTGCGCCATTTGTCTTTCGGCGATCGATGGCGAATGAGCGGTGTATGCCAAGCTTGGCGATCGGCAGTGCTGAATTGCGACGCAATGTGGGAAAACCTTTCGACGGACAACTATCGTGATATTACTCAAGACCTTTTACCTTATCGATCTTATATGCAAGGAACATGGGTGCGACGCATACATGTGGACCGGAATGATGATACTACAGAACACCTGGAAGCAGTTGTTGATTTTTTGTTAGCTCAAAAATGCACTGCCATTAAAGAAGGTAGTACATTATAGCACCTATACCTTTTTTCTGTAATGAAAATAGCATTAAACAACAAGGTGGCGAATCTAATTGCTATATTATTAGTGGATTTACATCTCCAGCTTTGCCATGGTCATCCTTTTCAAGTCTCACATCACTCTGCGGTGAATCGCTAACCAGTGTTTTCTTCAACTTTTACTATTACCATGAAGTCGAGATTACGCCTTGTAAGATCCTTCTACACTGCCCTAACTTCACCAAGCTCCAGTATATCAGCGCTGCAATGTATGGCCCGCTGATGGATGATCCAACGGCATATGCTGAACTCGAGCACCGTAGCCTACTGGATCTTACACTCCACATATACCACCCCGACGGCCGATTCAAGTTGAATACGATTCTTTTTGCGACGCCACGCCTCCGACGACTGCGCCTCAATCTCCAATGCATGAAAAATGGTGCATCAGGACTACCATCCCTCCTGACCGAACATTGCCCGAATCTTACCACTCTCGTGCTAGCAAGTTGCGATACTGGAGCAGCACTCGTCTCGCACGGTAACGACTTAGAATGGAACTTCGATACAAGCACTAGTATTACAGACAACAACAGCGATCCTAAAAATACAGCTATCACCAAAATACGACATCTTGTACTGCACGATCCATTGGGCATATACTTTAAAATCATTTGCGATATTTTACGACGGCTTATCCCGCTGTGTCACTATACTCTACAAACGTTGGATCTTGTGGGGACGCACACTCTTCATGGCTCTATAACCATGACGTGGCTTTCAAAGGACTGCACTTTTCGATCCCTACAAAGACTCAGTCTTGCCAGAGATCGTATAAAGAACATGATAACCTTCAACGATTTTGATTTTGAGGCATTTGCTGAAAGCGGCTCTGCATCTGGATTGAAATCACTCAAGCTACAACGTCTCGATAGCGATTTTTTGAAGATTGTTTCACTTGCTGCACACATGCAGTCTTTACGTGAGCTGCACTTTGAAGATTGTCCTCAAATCTCCTCAAAAACCTTGACCGCCTTTTTTTCTGAGCTATCTGTGGCGCAAACAGGTCAGATACAACAACAAAAGCAGCTTGTCAAAGTGACCTTGCGGGATATGCAGTGGGTGGATTCCAGAGTCGTCCACGATATCCTCGATGATTTCGGCGTTGGCTTGGAAGAACTTGTTATCCAGGAATGCGACTACGTGGATTTCGACGTTGTCAAACATTTATGCTTGGATGACGACCTACCTGTCGACAAGAATGCCCAACATCTCAAGCGATTGGATTTAATACTGGTGTACCACAATCCCATGTACTTCTGCCCGTCTCAACCATCTAGAAAAATAATTGTGTATCCGGATTCGAACAGGATTCAAAAGGCTCTTTACAAGTTGGACGCAGAGTGTCTTGAATGGCGACTGGAGCTGAATGACTTTACACAGCACGGATGGGAACCTTATGCTCAAGTTTTTGACCACAACACGTACCGGCAGCATAAGGTGGCATCAAGCATCAAAACAATGAAGTAAAACCCAAAGGAAAAGGAAAAAAAAACAATCAAAGCAGCAAAAGCAAAAGAAGGCCATTGCCGGCACTGCTACTATTACTGTTTCAATAATAACAGAATTGCTTATCCATACGCACACTACCCTTTCCGGCGAATAAATTAAACATTGTTGGAACAAAAAGGTCGGTAGGAAGCAATACAGATAAAAAAGGGGTTCTTTTCTTCTTGGAGGTTCTATCTAGATCTTAGAGTCCTTGGCAGACACCAAGGGTACAACGACCTTACCCTTGTTCTTGCCGGAATGCAGGTACTCAACACCTTGAGCAACCTGCTCGATACCTTGCAAGCCAGCCGTATCCGTTTCGATCTTGAGCTTGCCGTTCAAGAGCAACTTGACAAGCTTTTGCATATGCGATCCGAACAAATGAGGATAGTCGGGTAAAAAGAAGCCAGCCACAGTACGCGACTTGCCAAGCAATTTCAGCGTATCGACGGTATCGCCTTGCATGCCAGACTTGTCCGAGTATGTGGAAATTGTACCAATGACGATCAAACGGCCCTTGACAGCCAAGCTAACATGAGACCGGGGAGAAATTACGTTTGGTTTGTCACATATTCTTCTCAAACCTTATCTTGCCACTGCGTGTTCCAATCGTACAATTTCCTTTGCATAGTTTTTTTTTACCTGTTCAAGCAAGTAGTGAAGAACGATCCACCAACACTTTCAAAGATGATGTCCACACCTTTGGGGTATTCCTTTCTCAGCACAGCCTTAAAGTCTTCTTTCTTGTAGTTGATCACTCGGTCACAGCCCATCGACTAGACTCGTACATAAACATCATGGTTGAATGAAAGGAAACGTTATTTTCTCTTGTCTGTCTTTGTTATCCATGATAATCAATTACCTTGAGCATAGCAACTTTTTCATCGCTCGAGCAAGTGCCAATAACATGGTTACCAGCCAATTTGGCAAGTTGAACGGCAATTTGACCAGCACCGCCAGCAGCAGCAGTGACCAAAACAGTTTCACCGGTGGTCATTCTACCCGTCTGTTCAAGTGCAATGGATGAAGTAAGACCTGACGTCAGAAGCGATAAAAGCTCGATTCTTGAGCTTGGTACAGGAATCACTGCCTTGTATGAAATTCTGATATATTCTGCAAAGGCACCGTATTGACTACATTTCGGAATTCATCCACATTCCAATCTAAAGTTAGCAAATAGCCCCCCTGGTTTTCTGCGTATATTTAGGTAATACATACGAGAGGAGGACGTAGCTGCCAACAGCTTCCTTGGGAACTGCAGAACCGGCCTGAACAATTTGACCCAAGGCTTCGAAACCAACGTCGAATGGTCTAAACATATCTATGTTAGGTTATTTTTCTTGATATCGATCCGTTGTCCATATTGACGACTCCTTGTCTTTTTTGCTTACGGCTTAATGTCGGGAATGTACTTGGCATTGGTATAGTTGACATCGGAGGCATTGATGCCCAAGTAAAAGTTCTTAACGATGACTTGGTTGGGCTTCAAGTTATCGACGAGATCGCTATACTTGGCTTCGACAACGCGGGTAACCTTGGTGAAATCGTTGCCGATCTCAATAGCTTGGATTTTGCGGAAAGTAGTGGGTGCGCTATTGAATATTAGTTATTAGCGTCCACCCGGAAAAGAAGGTCGGAATGATCTCGTTAGTTAGGGCTACCTCATTGTAATTAAGGAAAAAGGAAATAGTTAAGAGCATCAAGTTTATGCGGCGGCATAGCCCTTATATACGATCGTAATGTGATACCGAAATGTCTGACACAGAAAATAATGACCGTTTGTCAGCAAAAGTTGGGACTCAAATCCCGCAAAGGCCGACGATGCTGTCAAAGGACATACATCCTTCTCAGTCACTCGCTGACAGCTGCAGCACGGCTCTTCTGCTGAAAAGATTGCTGCATACATTTAAAAGGAAAGAACGGGAAACAGCTCTGTGTTTTTGGCATCTGTAATTGTATTCTTTACATTGACGTGCTTATAATTCGGAGGGGAAACAAAAGGTCGGAAATGATAATTGCTCTCATTGGATCTGTTACGGGGTCGTTCTTTTCATACTATGCCGTAAGATCCCTATCAAAAGGTCAATTCGTTTCTAAGGTTGCTACCTCACTTATACACGACTGATCAATGGCTGCTGATTACAGCAGTAAAGGTAGTATGTAGCTTAATGGAGGCAGCATCATTCATCCGCCCTGGTATGATAGCAAGCTTTGTGTGACATGAAGGAAACATTAATGCTCAGCCATGTTACATAACAAAAAATTGACCGTGGGTGATGCATTTCTTACTAGCCTGCTTTGATGCTTCGATCACTTGCTCATTATTTGTATACTAGAGACAACAGTATCAGCGTTTGATTCTGTGGAAACAAACAGCATATGCACGTCGTAAAGAAAAGGCTCTTGTTATACGACTGAATTACTATGAATTGTCCTATAAACACTGCGCGATATAAAGGATTGCCACCCAGAAACCTTTCTACTCTCTGGATCAGTATGATGTCACGTGCTCCAAAGTATACCGTTCCCATCAAGCTATGTGCCACTACTCCGAGAGAATATCGGAAGCAACAACGGCATTTACAGTAACAAGCTAAACGATGATATTCCGTATCAGATGAGGGGGGGGGGAAATCACTTGTACTAGTTTTACTATTCTGAAAAGACTTTCCTTGCGATTTTACGGAAGGATGCTAAATGGCTCATGAATTTAAAAGAAAATACTTTCTATCTTATGGATGACCCGACTAGATTAGTATCTTAGACTGTAACTCCTTTTTACGAAGCATGATAGTACGCCATTCGTTTTAGACAGCATCGCGTAGCTACTATTTGGCTTGCAGTCTGTTTTATCCGCCTACTACCGCTACATACGGGGTTCTACTTTATACACACACAGAGTGGTATATCTCGACGAATTAACGCAATAGTGTGGCGCACGTGTGAGTGCGCGACTATACGTATCCATTCATTGATAAACGATGGGAGCGAACCTAGATTAGCAACCATGTACGAATAAAATAGCGTGCTGACGCACTGCACATGATGAGGGGTCCTTTTTACTCGATCTGGGGTTACGCATATCTTTCTTACTCAATGTTGTGTTATGTTTCAAACCGTAATGGTCATCTAGCAGAAACTTATTTCTTACACCTGAACTAATTAGTCTCGATTTTCATGCCGAACGGAAGACAACAGTGACTGAGCAAAAAAGTACGGTTGTAGAGAGTTTAATTATCTTTCTCCCTCCATCTTTTTCTTTTTAGAGCTTCCCTGTCAACCACAACTACAGTATTCGCTATACTTCTGGTAGTCAGAACAAGCTACTGCCTGAGCAAAAGGGAGCCAATTAGTTGTTTCCTTTACATTTTCTATCATGCTGAAAAACATATTTACCCAACAAACAGCAGACCGCCGTATCGATCCTGTTTAAGAATGGTATTTTTTATTACATACCGTCTGACCACAACGGAAAAAGGAGAATCCTTCGAAACTATTACTTTCTAATGTAAGATGTGCTGGCTCATTGGTGCTGCTTACAAGCCATCTTTTTGCTCAATCGGATCCTTCACTAAAAATGTGGTGCCTTCTCTTTTATTTAAAGAAAAGCGAGCATACATCGTCAACGAGGCTTTTATCTTTTCTTCTCTTCCAAATTCCTTCCTCTCCTTTTTGGCGTTCTATACGGAGTATGAAATCGCATTCTGAAATCACTTGGGCCGTCTGTCTGTCTGTCACGCTTTTCGTTGTCATGGCAACTTGCTAATAATACACAGCTTCAACATCGCACTGTTCCTCTTTGTAATTGCAATAACATTTACAATAAAGAATATAGAGTATAATTCTACTGATACAGCTTAAATATCGAATATTGGCTGTGGGTGACATTAATTTGGTGCTGGATAAGAAAGCAATCAAAATATTGAACCAGTCTCGAACGCTTTAAATCTTGGTTCCAGTGGTGAAACCCCCCCCCTGGGAAACATCCAAATGGTTGAATGACCCCGAGCTCAGCATAGGAGCTCTTCAAGCCGAGCGAAGCGAGGCAGGTGGACGTTGATAAAAAAGACAATGATACTGTGTCTTTACACACAACGGAGCATCAAGTATAGAAAACGTTGCGAAGCACGCCGCAGGCTCATTTTCCTTTTTCGCTACCACAGAAAATCACTGCGTATACAAACCAGTATAACTTCAGCAATGTGTCATTCTGATAGCATTATGCAGATCAGGATCATCCTATTTCATCCACAATAAACATGAAATCAAATACGTGATCGATAACTTCTAAGCAGGCATCAATGGCTCTATGTAAACTCAATAGCAGCAGTAAAGACAACAACTGACAGAATAAAATGCCGATATGTCCACCTTCTTCTACAGCATTTACTGCTGTCTTTACCTTCTGAAGTGTATAGCAGCTACTATTTCCATCATTCTATACTCCTTTTTAATTCGCGTTTTTCCTTGCAAGTACTGATATATTCACATCAAAAAAGAAAGCGAGCACTATTTGCATTTGTTGGGGCACATTTTGCTGCATAAAAAAAGTGGACCAATCAGAATCCAACTATATGGCGTGAACAGCTTCCCAACCGTGTCAAAATGCTCAAAACGCGTCGCCTTTTGCCAACATTTCAAATTCGCCTTTCTGACCTACCCTTTTCCTAAAACCTTCACTTTCATGGCACTCTTACTTATCATCACTGTACCCATCGCTAAATTGCACCACCCCGATCGTTCTCCGTTCTAGTTGAACATTAAAGTGCTATATGATGAAAACCGCAAGTTACACTAACAAGATAAACTTTTACACCGACGAAGAACTGCGGCTTGAGCCCATTACTTTGACAGAGACAAGATTGGACGCCGCGTACAAGCAATTGAATATCCACGTTCCGGGAGCTGAAAATCTCATCAAGATCACGAAACAACTTAAACACCAAGGTCTGCAAGCATCCGAAAAGTCAAGTCTCAACAAAATACTCAATGGCGGCAATGACCATGATATCAACGTGTACCTGCGCACACAAAGCAACGAAGGGATCATATTAAAAGGACTGCTACTTTTAGTAGCTTTGGCGCATTTATTCAACCTTCGTGTGTATTATTTTTCGACCAGGAAGCATGCACGGATCATTAATCCTTCAGGCAAGAAGTTAGTGGCGGTACTACACCATGTCGACTCGTATTTATGCACTTCTACACAATGGTTCAGCTTAGAAGACACTCCTGACCACAAAGTGAGCTTAGGAAAAGAAGGGCTATATGTCATAATGTGGTATCTTTTTGGAAGAGTATGCCATCTAAACGGTGATTTCTATTTTACAGGTACCCAAAGAAAAACAAAACAAGCAAAAACCATCTGCACCATCAGCAAAGTCGGCCGCAACGTTAAAAATAAAGGGTGATGAAGAGGAGTCTTCATCTCTGGTGCGCACGGGTGTCAGCAAGGAAGAAATCATGACGACGTTCAAGACGGGAATTCAGAAATATGTTCGGCAACTCATCGACTCGGCCCTCACAAATGCAGTCAACGCGGAAGATGCCCTGACCGCTTTAAATCAATTACAACGTGATCATGCTAAGCGAAAATCATTACCACGCGTCTATGACACAATGCAACAAGAAATTATCCGTAGCCATCCCGGTTTACAAATCTCCTCACCCTCCTGGTTTGGTGACCGTATAAAACAGTACAGGACTTTCGACCGATTTGGATATTTCAAAGAAGAGGGGGACGCCCTCATTGAAGAGACCAGATCGTTCGTACAAATTTGCAACTGGGAGCAGGTTCTCGGTCATTGCGAGGATGTTTACAAAGATGATGTTGATGATGGAAACGACGGCAAAGAAGAAGATAAAGCGTCGAAATCGTACGAGACCATAACCTTTTCGCTAAGGAGTCTGCTGCGGACCGAGATTAAATACGATGATTTTCTGAAAGATATAAAAGACGAACAGCAACGCGTCGGTCGGTGCATTTCGGAGCTTAGCAAGGCAGGTGCCATATTGACCGATACTATTGTTACAGGGCGCGCTGCTCGACTTTGCGGAATCAATAATCAGCAGCAAAATCTCGATCTGCGCAAATTGGCACCAGACTTTCAATTTCCACCAGATGCAGCCACCGTCATAACTATTGCTCCAATTCCTGAGGATCAAGAAAGGCTCGACACAGAAAGAGTCTATAAAAGGGAACATTTTTCAAATCTTCTATCGGGTAAGCTCATAGCTACGTGCTTTTTGTGTGCTGGTGAATATTTAGTTCTCACTTAAAGTTGACGATTAATGATTTTTTTAAAGGCTGTGTCGGCTCTAGTACAAGCTCTACTCGAGAATCATCCGTTTACTGCGAGATCCGAAAAGAAATCAATGACACTGGGCTCGTGTCAAAACAAGATGATTTCATGTTTAAAGGTGCAATGAATGACGCCTTAACAGAATTTTCGACGGCGTGTGATAACCTGTGGACCAGGAAGCGACACAATCGCGATCTTCGCGTTTTGGTGACTGCTTTATTAAGGCTGAATCTTGCGCCGGAACGGGTACATAAATACGCTGAGACACGAAAGAAGGGTACTGTAAATTTTTACGTACTTCACCTTCCTTTTTTGGATTTTTACGTACTTAGCCTCCAAGTTTTTATGTACTTAGCCACTCAAGTACATAAATCGGGTACTGTAAATTTTTACGTACTTCACCTTCCTTTTTTGGATTTTTACGTACTTAGCCTCCAAGTTTTTATGTACTTAGCCACTCAAGTACGTAAATCGGTTCTGACGCTGTATATTTGTACTATAAAATTTTACGTACTTCCTATTTGGGAATTTTACGTACTTGTCTTTTTTGTGCCTCGTTTGAGTAGATCATACAAATAGCTACCATTGATGTAGCCTATCATACTTTGACTCTGTATAACCGTCGCAGCTACGATGGCTACTGTAAATTTTTTACGTACTTCACCTTACTTTTTATGCAAAAAGTTACGTACTTGGCCACCGAAGTACATAAATGTTATAAACATTCTTCGACCTCTAGTAAGTGATCATCCTCAACCTCGTTGATGACATATTAAATCCCCATCTATCATCATCATCCGAATTATCGACCTTAATACCAATCTTTCCGTTTATTCACATCATTGAATTCTATAGTAAAGACATATATATATATATATCATAGTCTTTGAACGATAAAACATCAGTCAGTTGTCTTGTTTCCTCCCTATACCTTGTTCTTGTTTCTTCCCTCACTATCTGGTTTCCTACCTTCTGGCTTCCTTCTTGTCTTGTCCTGTTCTTGCCGAAAGCACCTAGCACATTCTCGTCCGGTGTTTCTGGCCTTGTGTTGTCTTGTCCCTGTTCGCACCTTACAGTAAATCAGTTCTCGCGCTGTATATTCAACCTATAAAATTTTACGTACTTCTCATTTTGGAGTTACATACTTCCGATTTTACGTACCTGCTGTATATGATTTTAAGTACCTTGAGCGCTTAAAGGACCATACATGTTGTTATTACTTTGAAGATTTTGTATATATAATCACGTTTCACGGAAGGGCAAGAAAGCCCACACTATGTTTTAAAGGTACGTAAAGGTTGATGTACGTAAAAATTGGTGTTAGTATGATTGTATGACTAGTGAGTGTAAGTAGTCAAGGAACGCGCTCAGAAAAAAGAGACCGGTTTTCCTGCCAGAGCGACTGCTTTACCTGCAATCGCCGAAAATGGAAGTACGTAAAAATTCGCGCACCCAAGAAATTCGTCGAGACACTAAATCATCACATGAATCAACTGGCTTGGGCTATATGCCGCGATAGGCCTGAAGAAGCCACCAATAAGCTGTTCCACAAAGTGCAGGAGTGGCAAGGAAAGGTAATGATACGTCGTCTTCTGTTTACCATTGATTATCATTGTGTGGATAGATCTACTTTTACTAACTTTATTTAAAAACTATATGAAGCTCGGTAAGCCCCAGTCGAAACCTGCTGTGTCTGACAAGGCCCCCTCCGATGCCAATACCTCCACCGATGCCAATACCACGCCCGCAACCAATAGTGCCAAACCGAAGAGACAAGCACGTTTAGTTCAAAGAGAGCTAGCTATGTATGATCCGCTCAATGTTACAGACGACGATAACGAAGAGGAAGAAGAACAAGAAGGAGACGAGGAACAAGAGGGAAGCCCAGGCGTAACCGAGCATGAACCTTCCAATCGACGTATACGTGCACTGACGTCCATTATCAAAAAGATCCTTGATACAACCAAAAAACAAGCATCGACAAAGATCATTAAAGAGACGGCATTCAAGGGAACTGTTCTCACTGATAAGCAATGCAGCGCTGCCGCAAAGATTGCAAACGCTTTGCGCCCATACTACTGCCCTGAAGATCAAGATGATGAACAAGGTCCAGCTCCTGTGACAGTGCACCAGGCTGCTCCTTTGGCATACATTACGAACGCTATCGTTGATATAATTGTTCCTCAACAGCATGTACTTGCCGTGGCACCCGAAGTCCACCCAAATGACCACGCTATCCATCTATCAGCCAGTGCTTTGTATACGCTTGTCTCGGAAAAGTACGAGATGCCATGCCGCGCAACTGGAAAGACTGTCACCAGCAAGCGTCAAGCTGGAATTGGTGAAGCTCGCCGCGATGTGATTGGAGCGTTTTTCTCTCTTTCAAAAATATACAAAGCACTGCAGACAAGGGATCTGGTCTTCGCTTATCGTCTGACGTTCGTGAACCGTCATACAGTCCGCGTACTAGGTGTATCTGGACATGAAGGAAGTGACAGTGACCATGCCCACGATACCGAGAAAGCGCCCCAAGGAGGTCCCAGTAATGAAATGGACATGGATCTGGTAGAAGGGAGCGAGAATGAGCGTAAACCTGGCAGTGTGCTCAGTGATATCTTCGTCGATGACAAGGCTACTGGCAAAGGCAAGCAACCTATGGCACCTACAGAGACAAAGGGAAAAGGCAAACAGGCGATGGCACGTACGAACCCAAAGGGAAAAGGCAAAGCAGGGACAGGAAAGTCACGCAAGGCCCACAACAAAAGCAGACGGAAAAAGCGCAAAGCCAAGTCGTTGCCATCGGACCGTCCCTCGAAAAAAAGAAACAAGAACAAGGACAGTTCGCCAACGAAGAAGGACACGGACGTAGATGATGAGAAAGAAGGTATCAAAGCACAACGTATCAAGGAGTTTGAAACATGCGCAAAGCGGCTTGCTGCTGAAGTGGCAAAACTGCAGAAGCAAGGAAATGCCGTTGAGAACGAACGTGCTGATTTGGCAAACGCTTTTCGTCGCGAGTGGAAGATGACCAAATTGCGGAACCGTGAAAAGTATGGTGAGCTGCAGATGGTACGCAAGCAAGCAAATTCTGTTATTGCTCAGGTCGCTCAGAAACAAAGGCAATTGGCCGACACCCGATCGCAGCTGTATTTGATGCAACAGAAACCCAAGGCAGAACCAGCTGCACTCGATAAGGAACAGGTATGTATAACCAAACTCAAAGACGTGGTACACTTGATGCAATACTTACATTGTTTGTATATCACAGCAACTACTACAAGAAAAAATTGTTGAGAGCCTTGCTACAAACAAGAACGTTGGTGTTATCGGCGTGGACCCAGGGCTTGTAGTATCAGCAACTTCTATCACCACTACTGCCAAAGATCTGTACCAAACAATTGTTCCGTACACCCGTCCCCAGCCATCATCATCGCCATCTTCCTCTTCAGCACCTGAAACAGCACCAGTACAGCCATCAGATCCGCCGTCTGTGGCGCACCCGCTACCTCCAGCACAGACTTATACAGCTAAAAAGAAAAGAGCAGCTACGCTGGAAGCAGCTCACCAAACCAGACGGGAACAGCACAAGAAGAAGCATGGCGACAATACTAGTGATCAAGACAGACGACAAAAAGAAGCTCGCACTAGGGACATCCGACACGACGTCTTTCATCGGAAACTTGCGTCATCGTGGAGGGTACGTGGATCCGCATCCACATTGACGTTCTTTGGCGCATATAAATCAACAAACTCGAGGATAAAAGGTCACTGTCGTGGTGCGAACGCCACCTTACAACAACATTTAGGTTCCCCCGACCGTGACCATGTAACTGTTACCAATGAGCACCGATCCAGCAAGACTTGCCCATTTTGCCACTCTCCGACAAAACTGCACCAATACCGGCGCGAAGGCAAATTGGTCAAGGTCAACGGTGCAGTGCGGTGCACCAATCCAGCATGCCCGAACAAGAGTCGCAACACTCACAACAGGGACCAAGTCGGATCCGTCAATATCGCATCGATTGGATTTTCCAAAGCCATATCTGCCACCAACACCCCTATCCCGCCTTTCTCTAGAATGCCATTCCTTTCTTATAACATTTCTCCCTACATGGAGCAACTGCTGACGTGACACCTGACCAGGTTCTTCATGTCTACCACGCGATGTCGGATAGAAAATAGTACCTTCGTGGAACGTCTGTATTTTTATTTATTAAAAACTCCTTTCAACATCTTTTTATATATCTCACCAGCTTGGGATTTGTTCAACAATGGAGACTGGACTTATTGTTTTTCTGGTGTTTTTTTGCCTCGTAGCATTACCATTCGCTATTGTACTTTTATATGTCGGATACAGTGCTGTTTACCCTATAATGCGAAAGTGTGCTTGATACGACAACAAAGAGCTTTAGACGTTTCTTGAATGTATATGCATATATGTATATGTATAGGACGCATCGTGGTGCATGTACTCAGGATTCCTCATTGTATGATATACACTTTTTCACGCCACAAGAGTTTAAAACCCATCCCGAAAACAACTACGCAGATTACTACGATTATCGTTATACAACCACAACTGATGACCCATTTCTCTGGTTTTGCCATGGCTCAGTATGCATGTACCAAATGCAGCAGTTATCGAAACGCATTGTGGTGATAACTCGAGAACTATCCCTCCCATAAAATCTGAATACAAGAAAGAGCTGCATAACAAACATCAAGCACATCACATCACACAACAACAAGAGCTCTACCACAGCAACCTCGCAATTACTACAACATTCTGGCACTTTCTATAAAGCCAAGGACACAGCGATCCAATAACAACGCAGCAACGACAAGTAATATGATTTTCGATCTTGGCTTCTTTCCGTGTTCTTTATCTATTTTATTTGCACTAGTGAATATTTTGGTCAGAACATAATAGTACGACGCCCACACTACGTACATCACCGACACCATACACAACTATAGATGAATATGAAGACAATGCTAGCTCGACAGGGTAAGTACAATATTTTTTTATTGTAGTAGGCGGCTGTACTTCGGGTCGATATTTACCTTGGTACGGATGATTCAGGCGATCCAGATCTGTGTCAAGTGGTGCTTCAGGGTAAGATATCTTTGTCCCTGTTGCTTACATTTTTCCTGTCCTAGTATGGATCAACAGTATACTCACATTTAAACACTGCGAGTGAAATATAGATCGTCAAGTACAAGATCCGCTGACCAAGCTGCCGTAACGTAAGTCATTTACTTTTTCTTTGTACGCAATTCTTGCTGTATATGCGCACTCACACAATGCCAAATTCAATTTAGACCATCATCCCTGCAAGCAGCGGCTGATCAGATAGTGGAAAGTGCTGCCAGTATGTATATTCTCTTTTGGGAAAAAGAGCATGGGAAGCGTATTGTACGAGCGACTGTTTTCTAGGAGCGTTGCAGATGTGCAAGAACCTGCTTCTCCTACGATTCAGAATGCTCCCAAGTAAGTATATGATTCTTTTGAAAAATAAATCTGGAAAGGAAGCTATTCTAATCAGTGTTTGGTAACAACTATTTGTATATTTATAACAGCACTGATGCTCGTAGCACAAGCCAACAACGCCGTCAAACAAGACAAACAAGACAAGCAACGTAAGTTACATATTCACAACAAGATACTAAAGCGTAACGTATGTACATTTCAATGACATTGCATTTTTTACAGATCCACACAAGGCGGACATGATGGGCAAAAGGGAGGAGGAGCAACAGCAGCAGACACGTCAAGTGGTCGTGGAGGAAAAAAATCAGGAAGGTGTCGTGGCGGTAAGAAGTCATCAGAACGCCGCAGTAACAGAAAGAAACCTCTGGATGATGAACAACAGGATAGTGACGATGATACGCCCTTGGAAAAAAAGTTCCGAACGAAGTAAAGGTGAAGTAGTGATAAGGTGTGGTCTGGGAATTCACAAAAAAAAAATAAAAAATAAAAGACGGTTCGTGTGAGGAGGTCTCTATGAGCTATACGTGACGCTGTTGATGTGGGTTGATATGGGTTGTTTTGGGTTACTACTGGTGAACTACTAGCAATGAAAACTGGTGGATATTGGTAATTTTTTGTGAAAGTTGTTTCTGGTGAATTTAGGTGAAATTGCCATTTTCACCTTAACAATAATTAACCAGGTTTTACAAAGATTAACCGTGGTGAATAGCATTATTCCTAGACTTTCCAATTGATTCCACATCCATAACCATTGGATGCGAGTACTTTCCACAACCTTCGAGCATCATCTTTGATGTTCAATTAATATAGATGTATTGAAAGATATAAATACCCCCTCATTTTATTTGAATAAAAACATTGAATTTCTACCTCCCACTTTTGACTTAACCTTTCAAGTGTTGTTTTCAATCACTCAAGACCTAAACACGGCTTGTTTTATATTACATATTGTTTATTGCTCATAACTGAAGCTAAATAAACCCTTCTATTAAGACCAGACGTAACATTCCTGCTCTTATTTCTCATTTACTTGGACAGACGTAGCATTCCTGATCCTTATTTCTCATTCATTTTGGACAGACGTAACATTCCTGATCCTTATTTGTACTCACTGAGCTTAATCAAGACATCAGCTCACTACTATTTACGACCTTGGACATAAACCATACACATTTTTACCTTACTTTACACTCATATCACTTGACAACCCGTCTGTAATAAACGATATTATTACTGGTGCTCACTACAAAACATACACATAAACCGTTACGCAACTACCTTGAATACCCCAAATTCACCGTAACAGTGGTACATAATTTGTGCAGCTTGTCCGACCTGTGTTTTTGTGGCTGCATTAAAAGACAATCAAAAGAGGGTGATGGTGATCGTGACTTATATATACTCCCGCTATCACTGCTACCGCGGCCAACGGCATCCATGTTTTTGAGAACATCACCACCAATTACAGAGCATATGACGACGATCGTTCCTGATAATAATACTGATCACTTTTGTGGTATCATGAACACCAGTCATATAAATAAGACAATGACGACCGAAACAAATCTTGAAGGGTCTACAGCAGTGACAGCAACGTCTTTTTCAGCATCAGCATCACCCACACGCAGCTACAACATTCAGAGACAAGACGACGCTAATGACAATAGCAACAACAACAACCAAAAAAACGATGTCCTGGACCAAGAAAACGATGCGAGCACCTTTCAAGCGGCTGATTTGTAAACCTTGCCTACGCGGTCTCTGGGTTTCCGAAGAACGCTCGAAATAGTAGCTATGCAGCCTTAGTCAAATGCTAGCCCGACAGGTCATCGTTACTGCATTTACTCAAGTCCTAGCAATGGCCGACCCCAAGTCCTCAATATACACCAGTAAAGCATGGCTGCCTAAAATTTACTTCATTATGTAGATCAGTTACATAGTATCTGTTCCCCTGGCACATGCAAATCTTCCAAGTCTTGCAATAAAATCTAGGAAAAATCTCGGTTGCCAACAACAACCGCGGTGGGTCCGACTGTATCAGCAGAATGGCAGCATCAATAACTTTAATATTAGGGTAGTATTTAGTTACTTTAGGAGATAAACCATTATTAATTGCAGCATAATAAGTTTATTTGGGGTCATACATATGAGCTATGGTGTGCCACACTTCATGAAAACAACCCACACAAATGAACGGAACAGGTCCGTGCAATGGTCGTACAAGAAGCAACAATTATTCTTTGAACCCCCTTCCTACTGCTTACTTTATAAGCAAAACCCAGTTTGAAAGGGTGATCCTTTGCTCTTGCTGTCACAATCAAAGAATCGACATCATGAAATACATGGATGACTTCTTTGTGTTTATTTGCGGGCTGGTAAATGGGGAAAAGAACAACAGAGCACGGGGTATGTGTAGTGCCACTGTCCACTTCTATTACAGCACTTGATGTATATGAATGAGGTGTTTATATTATGGCTCGAGTACCTATATTTTAGGGACATGTGAATGTACCTATCTGTACACATACATGTACTGCAGTAGACAGCGGCATAGGCACAGAGAGAGAGAGAGAGAGAGAGAGAGAGAGAAGTCCTTAAATAAAAACACATCAACTTTTTGTTTACTGCCTCCTTATTATTGCCTCGGATCCCACCTCCCTGAAACGTATCATAGCATATCCTTAAATACCTGAAACACCAACAGACTAAGAGCCACTTTTTCATTTCATTAAACGAAGATGTTCAGTAACAAAAAACCATCACATAAAGATCAAAATACGACCACCGATGCTGAATAGTAGTCATTACTATGGTCTGCCGCATCATCGAAGAGCCAAATCGATCATTATTCTGACACGTCCTCAACGAATAGTAGCGAGGACGCGTCAGCGATGAGTTATGCCACAATTTACATTGCCAAGGAGCTGGAGCAGCAGTTGATCGACCGTAATCATCCTAATGACAACAACAGCGTGGGAGAAGAAGAAGATGATGGCAATGTGGTTTTATCTTCTTCTTCTTCTTCTTCTTTTTCGGAACACAATCATAGTAGCACTAATCAACCGCACGAGAAACGTGATAGAAACCATATCCATTTCGGAGCACTTGTCTTGTGGTATAGTCAATCTACGTACTCGTCGGAACGTTTAAGAAGGAAACAAAGATGGTGTTAATTGATCTGTTTTGCTTGCTAATTATTTAGTCTTTGTATAAGTGTCGGTATGTTGGGTCTGAACACAGGGATTGTATTATTGCTACTCAACATCATACTTACAGTGCTCTAAAGGTATATATAACATATCAAGGTTAGCCTCACCCCATTTACAGCACGCTTAAATGAAAAGGTTTTAGCGCTCATCTCGCTGTCTGGATGCATCTACCCTATCTTTTCGGCTGCTTACTCGTTCAGCCGCTATGTATGTAAAAAGAGCTTTTTTTTGTTTTCCTCACTCTCTCTCTCTGTCTCTTTTGACAAATTACTGAATACTCTATACTCTTTGCTACAGGCAGAAATCTCGCAGACGCAATTGGACGCCAAGCCCTCTTGGTCATTTAACAATGCTTATTCCTGATCGGATCCTTATCCTGCAGCGCAACACAAGACATGTTGCAATAATCGCAGCTACAGCGGTGGCTGGTCTTGGTGGTGGAACTCTATTTCATTATCGTCTATCGTTGTCTTGGATCGTGTAGTCCATAAACATCGTTGTCCTTATCATCGTACTACTACTATGATACTACTACTATTAGCAGTAGTAGTAGTAGTAGCAAAGATCATACAATCAGTGCTACAGCACTTTATGAACGTTATCACGTGTACATTCAAACTACACCAGCAGTAAGTATATATATCGTCTACTGATTTTTATTTCTGTCTCTTGTTTTTTGATGTAGCTGGGATTGGCGTTAGGACCTTATGTAGAAGGATGTCACGAACCTCGACCTCTGCTGAGTGATCATCCTTAACTTCGGTGATCACACAATAAATCCCCCAATAGCAATATTGTAAATCATCATAATCCGACTTATCAACCTCAATACCAATTTTTCCGTATTCACATCATCAAATTCCATGTAAAAGATATATATATATATATATATATATATACCCTAGTCGTTGTATGATAAAACATCAGCAGTTATCTTGTTTCTTCCAGCGAATCTTCGTCAGTATGTCTAATGCGAATAGAAACGCCAAAAGATGAAGGCATTTATATGAAGGAGCCCAACATGAAACGTGATAATGTGCGTTATACCGTCCAGGTCAACGTTAGATTTTCAACCTGGAAATCGAAAAGAGATCAGTGCATCAGCTGCAGCGACGCAGTTGGGTATTCACATTCGAACTACTCAGAGAGGGGTTAGACAATATAGTTTATGCCCTGATAGCATTTTGATAATTGTAAACGGATTGTTCATTAGTGTATCGTATCTTGTAGTGTCCAAAGATTATAAAACGGCAAATAATAACTTCATTGATGCTTATTCTCTGCTGCTGTTGTTAAAGTGACAGAACATTTATTGAAGCAATTCAAGATCTTAGATTTTCAAGCAGCACTGTTAAGAGTTTATGTGGAGTGAATACAATCTTTTGTTCTGTGGAAAGAAAAAGTTCAGCAAAGATTGAGGAGCGGTACTGTACAATTGGTTTGTAAGTGGGAAAACACAGACATGAACTTCCTCACAAATTGCGTGTTTCTAAGACGAGTCTGCTTTGATATTAAAATGAAACGCTCAAGAGTCTGGTCCACAAAAGATCGTGCTATCGTTACTCGACCTACAACGAGAGCAAACACGCCGTCTATATTGGGCGCTATCTCTGCAGCAATTTGATCACAGTCGACGTAAAAGAACTGAGACCTGCGAAGAATAGAAGGCTAATGGATATATAAGCTCAGGAACTGTGACAGGCCATTGGATTAGTTTTTTTAAGAGCGACTCTCGATGAAATGGACAAATGTCCGCATATTAAAGGACACCGTATCGTCATGGGCAATGCACTATTCACACGCATGAAAACATAAAGAGGTATATCAAGTATCAAGGATATAAATGCGTGTATCTTCCTACTTACTGTACTCTCCCGAGCTTATTGCCATAGAGCAGGTCTGGGCAGTGGCAAAGAGCAAAGTGAAGCATCATTGGCTTTTGCAAGAAGATATTATATCGGAGAGAATCAAGGTCCTGCAACAGCGTAGAAAAGGTCATTTCAAAGTATTTTTGCAAATGTTGGGATAAATGACGTATGATATGTAACAAAGAGTCGCGATAATAATCAGGTAAGCAATAATCTTTCTTATCTTACTGTAGGTCAAGTAATCTTGTAAGTTTTCTGAAGAAAGGCCAGCGATTTAGAAAGAAAATAAATTTTATTTGATATCGTCATTATGTTTGTGATCTGCGAACGAATGCTTTCTGACCACTGAACATTCGGATAACTTTGTCGCTGTGCAATATTTCGTGTCTGCTGTAAACGTTTACAGTATGTCCAATGTCAACTACGAGTTCAACTATGTTTTTGTTAACCCGAAGGAAATGGTGCAGATCATCAATATTGGTAGTCAAGCCGCGGTAATCGATCGTCACAAGCCTGACTTTGCGTTGTGACTTTGTGATCTCTTCTATCATGGCTTGCGTGCTACCACTATAACCATCGAGCTCCAACTCTGGACGATCATAGTCACGCGAAGCTATAGGATCAAATGCAGACGTTCCAATCGATGCAAACACATCTTCGCACAGAAGCTTTGTTTTCAGTTTGTAGATCTGAAGGCCGACTGATTTTTTTTTTGCGGACAACGGTTCCGACGTTCGACTTTTCCTTGCGTACCCGATCGTGTAGATGGTTGAATGTGTGGCTTTAACCTTTGCACGGAATTGATGGATGTTGCTGATATCAGTCCAAGTAAAATCACGGTATTTGAGCTTGACTACGTTGTAATGACGACCGTGCTTTCGAACTCTTTTTGTTTGCTTGCGTTTCGCAGGACCCCAAAATCCATCCTTGCTCATCCATTCTGCCAAGTCTTCGTTTTTCAACGTGTCGTTTGGCATATATTGTTGAACAATCTCGTATACTTCTACTTCGGATAAAAACATGGTATCTGTCACGCCAGATGTCGGTTGCTTGGGCATGATTTGCTTTGCTAGCTGCAATATGGCCGTACGGGATGGAGGAATAGATGGACCGTACGATTCGCTGCTGATGCTTTCAAAATGCTCTTCATTTTCGACAGCACTGTTGGTTGCCGAGACAGTTGGCAATCGTTGAAACCGCCACGGTTCCTTAATAATCTTTGCCGTTGAAATGGCGACAGCAACTAGAGGATCGCCATTGACCAATGTCGCTGGTTCTAGGCCAGTTTTTTGTAACCATGTCAGAGCACGATCTTTATTCTCATCCGTGACATCGAGATCGAAGATGCTACAAGCAGCATCACCTGCAGTCAAAAACATTAATGGAAAACAAAGGAGGGTGTGCAAACTTAAAAAGAAAAGAGATTGTGAAGTAATTTGGAATACCTGGAGTCGGCTTTTTGGTGGGAATTAAGAGCACTTGAGCGGTCGCTGTTAAATTTAACAGTTTCTTGAATCAAAAAAAGGGTCATTCTTTGTTTCTATTCAATATGAACAACACTACTTCTAACGCCACTCCCCCGCCTGACGTTTCTGCCGCTCCCCTGCGCAAGAGAAAGGGCAAAGCTTTTAGCAAGGCCGAGGATGTTGCTTTGGTGAACGCGTACTTGGCTGCAACCACTGACGAAATAACGAGCAGTGACATGAGCAAAGACACCATGTGGTCGCTCATTAAAGACGCGTTCGTCAAAGAAAGTGGCAATCCCTTTGACCGAGATTCTCCTCGTTGCAATCTCGATACATCCATCTCGCCGCAATGCCAATTCTTCTCTGCTAGCTACGCAAAAGCTTTGGCCGTAATGACAGTGGCTTTAAAGATGCACAGAAGGTCGGGCGCTTTTGCATATTTCATATATAAATATGATGTATCTTAAAGATAAAGAAGTGACTAACGATGAAGTAATAGTTCGACAAAGCCTGTGAGTTTTATGTTGAGCATCGCCCTGTCAATAGTGCCAAAAAATTTGGTTTGAAGCAGGTATGGCATATCCTTGCGGAGCAACCAAAGTGGCCAAAAAGAGTTGTGAGCCCATGGTAGAAGGCCAAGCAAGACCCATCGGTCAAAAAAAAGCCAAGGCCAACAAGAGAAAGCGCGCTCACGACGACGAAGAAGAAGAAGAAGCAGGTTCAATTGAGAGAGAAACGTTGAAGACGATGCGGATCCAAACAGAGATTGATAGTGAACGCGCTGCAACTGCATAGTGGAGCGTGCATAACGACACACTGATGACTCGGCATGCAGTCATGAGCGTTGATCCTCAGGGATTCTCCCCTGGCAGAATATTCTTCTACGAAACCATACAAAAGAAGATTGCCGAGGAAATCAAGAAGGAACTGGAAGAGGAGGAGAAGAAGAAGCAGCAGCAGCAAGTGCTGGAAGAGGACGAGGAAGGGGATTGGGAGGAAGATGGCGATGACGAAGAAGACAGATGTGAGCAACAAAAGAAGACGTTTGAATTACCTAGCCGAAAAGCAGGTAAATATTTATCTTAAAGGACAATTTATTCGTCACCGTGACATTGCCAGATATGCTCGACAAGATCCCCTAGTAGACGTCGGTGGGTATCTTTGTCTTTAACTTCGCATTGAAGTCTTTGACGCATAAGCTCTTCCGGTTGTCCACCATGTTCGAGGGATGGCGCAACAGTGAAAGAAGAAGTGTCGTAGTCCAACTCATACTGCTTGTCATACCCATCGCGCTCGTCCTCAACGATCATGCTATGCAAAATAATGCACGCCTTCATGATGTTTGACAGGTGGATACATGCCAGGAACGTCCAGGCTTGCGGACTATTGCAAAACCTTGCTGCAGTACCCCAAAAGTGCGCTCAATGTCCTTACGGACAGATTCTTGCCGTTGAGCGAACAACTAAATTAACAAGGTTATTACTTACATCTGGTAGTGGCAATTATATAATAAAGAAAAGGTACCTTCTTTTTGTTACCCAGTGGGTGTCGAATGTCTTAACCAGTATGGCCCAAATTGGGTAGATCCCGTCGGCCAAGTGATACACTTTGTCGTATTGTCTGTTGTTGATAGTGCTGGTAATAGCTGGGGACCCACCGTTAATGACATAGTCGAACAATGAGGACTTGTGTAAATCACTGAGGTCATTACAGGAGCCGCGGCACCATAGAACGGGTGTCAAATCCATAGATCATTGAAGTAACGGCTTCTACAGTCAACCCCCGTCAACGTCAACAGATTCGCTGGTACCCTTTCAAATTTAGCAGTTAAAGAATTTGCATATTCTCTACCTCCAGTGGTCGTCAACCCTCAATATAATCAACACTTTTGCTGGTACCCTGAGGGTTGACGATAACGGGGGTCGACTGTAGGACCACCGTTGGGCCACTTTCCTTGCCAGAAGTATATATCCCGGTCCAGTCAGTGGAACAGATATTCCACTTCCAGTGCATGCAATCGAAGGATCCCAGCATGCCTAGGAATCCCCGAACCTCTCCAAAGGCCAACAAACGCTTGAGATTTTGTTCGTTTGGGGCGCGAAGATATTCGACTCCAAAGCATTTGATGACGCCTTCACAGAATCTCGTCAAACACTCTCTTGCTGTGGACTTGGCAATCTCAAGATACTCATCGACAGCATCAGCAGGTCCGCCATATGCTAATATGCGCATGGCTGCAATTCCTTTGACATAAGGGTGGAAGCCGATTTTTTCGGTCGCATCCTTAATTTGTTGGAATAAAGTGTACTTCATTCTAAGCTCTTCCATTATGCGCAAAAACAACTCGCGCTGCATGTGGAGCCGACGACGAAAGAAGGTTGCAACATATCTTGGGACTTGATTAAAATAGTCCTGCATAACTACCATCTGGAACATGCTGCATTGGGGGGTCGATAACCTTGCATTTTGGCTTTTGGCGTGCTTGGGCACTAGAAAGCCTTCGTCCTCAAGCTTGTTCCAATATACGCGCGGTGGTCTGTCGCGTATGACTGCTGTTCTGTTCCAGTTGTTTATCGAGAATTTGTCTTTGTCTACGTTTTTCGTAAAATGCTGAAAACATCATTGTTTGGAAGATTGTGAAAAGCAATATTTTCATGTAGTTCCAGTCTATTCTTTTATCTAAACCAACGACCTGTGAAGTTACAAGCTTTGTAACAGTAACTGCTGCACGAAATGCCCTATTACTGTAAGTAGTTACGCACTGTTAAGTCGGCTGTGACTCTAAAATTGAACAGTTTCCTAACAGCGACTGCTGCAGGTGCTCTAATAAAGAAGTGGTGAGTGACCATATAAAGTGGTGAGTGGCCATACTAAGTGGTGAGTGGCCATAAAAAAGTGGTGAGTGGCCATAGAAAAGTGGTGGGTGGTTATATAGAGTGGTGAGTGGCCATATAAAGTGGTGAGTGGCCATAAAAAAGTGGTGAGTGGCCATAGAAAAGTGGTGAGTGGCCATATAAAGTGGTGAGTGGCTATATCGAGTGGTGAGTGGCCATGGTAAAGTGGTGAGTGGCTATAGAAAAGTGGTGAGTGGCCGTACAAAGTGGTGAGTGGCCGTATCAAGTGATGAGTGGCTATATAAAGTGGTGAGTGGCCATAGAAAAGTGGTGAGTGGCCATACAAAGTGGTGAGTGGCTATATTAAATGGTGGGTGGCCATAGAAAAGTGGTGAGAGGCCATGCTAAGTGGTGAGTGGCCGTACAAAGTGGCGAGTGGCTATATAAAGTGGTGAGTGGCCATAGAAAAGTGGTGAGTGGCCATAGAAAGTGGTGAGTGGCTATATTAAGTGGTGGGTGGCCATAGAAAAGTGGTGAGTGGCCATGCTAAGTGGTGAGTGGCCGTACCAAGTGGCGAGTGGCTATATAAAGTGGTGAGTGGCCATAGAAAAGTGGTAAGTGGCCATACTAAATGGTGAATGGCCATATAAAGTGGTGAGTGGCGATATAAAGTGGTGAGTGGCCATAGAAAAGTGGTGAGTGGCCATAGAAAAGTGGTGAGTGGCCATATAAAGTGGTGAGTGGCCATATAAAGTGGTGGGTGGCCATAGAAAAGTGGTGAGTGGCCATACAAAGTGGTGAGTGGTCATTCTAAGTCGTGAGTGGCCATACCAAGTGGTGAGTGGCCATAGAAAGTGGTGAGTGGCTATATTAAGTGGTGGGTGGCCATAGAAAAGTGGTGAGTGGCCATGCTAAGTGGTGAGTGGCCGTACCAAGTGGCGAGTGGCTATATAAAGTGGTGAGTGGCCATAGAAAAGTGGTAAGTGGCCATACTAAATGGTGAATGGCCATATAAAGTGGTGAGTGGCGATATAAAGTGGTGAGTGGCCATAGAAAAGTGATGAGTGGCCATACTAAGTGGTGGGTGGCCATAGAAAAGTGGTGAGTGGCCATGCTAAGTGGTGAGTGGCCGTACAAAGTGGTGAGTGGCTATATAAAGTGGTGAGTGGCCATACAAAGTGGTGGGTGGCCATACTAAGTGGTGAGTGGCTATATAAAGTGGTGAGTGGTCATTCTAAGTCGTGAGTGGCCGTACAAAGTGGTGAGTGGCTATATAAAGTGGTGAGTGGCCATACCAAGTGGTGAGTGGCTATATAAAGTGGTGAGTGGCCATAGAAAAGTGGTGAGTGGCCATACAAAGTGGTGAGTGGCCGTACCAAGTGGCGAGTGGCTATATAAAGTGGTGAGTGGCCATAGAAAAGTGGTAAGTGGCCATACTAAATGGTGAATGGCCATATAAAGTGGTGAGTGGCGATATAAAGTGGTGAGTGGCCATAGAAAAGTGATGAGTGGCCATACTAAGTGGTGAGTGGCCGTACCAAGTCGTGAGTGGCTATATAAAGTGGTGAGTGGCCATACTGTAACGTCTTAGTTTGTGTAAGAGTTACGAATCCCGTTTAATAGGATGGATAGTATAAAAAAAGCTGATTAATGTGGATGAAATGCCAAGTATTAAGCAAAAGAGATGAAATAGAAGGGTGGGAGTTCAACAACCAGGAATTATTACGTCTGGAGCCACCAAAGACAATCCTTTTGATAGGAAAGGGAAAAGCTAAAGTTAAGAGAAAGAGAAGCTAAAGAACTAAACTGTTTATTATTAAATACAAAAGATTGGTCTATTTATACTAATTCTAATACACTATCTATATCTAATCTAATTGGTGCTTGATCCAATGGATACCGCAGTAGTGCGAAATGGTTTTGCACCTGGTGTGAGTTGTTTTTGCACTCGGAGTAAGAGTGGTGTTGCGCAGTAAGTGTATTGTTGCGGGTGTGAGATAAATTTGCACTCATAGTTACACCAAGTCTGCGATGAAAATGATAGAGAGTAAACTGACAGATAGTGATACAAGTAGATTACAAAGCCAATACTAAGGGGAAGAGCCCGTTTATTGATATGAATGTATTGGGGACAACAAGGTAGGTTACATATCCTGGGACCCTTAAGGACGCACGTCCTGGGCGAAAGCAAACGTATTTGTAGATGACAAGGTATTGTAGTAACTATGTTTAAGAGCGTGGAGCTTGGAATCACCAGTGATGTAGGTGTCGTGTATATGTTGTTTAAGATACATGCGGATGGCTCCTTGGCGTTCTAGTTCGCTCGGAATTCTTGACAGTACTATGGCTAGACGGTGTGCGATACGATTTGCTAGTAAGCGGCGGTTGGCATCGAGATCCTCCTTTAGCTGTTGTTGCCAGAGGTGCAGTGACACGCAATCTTATGTGAGATCGTAGTAAAGGCCCATCTCGGCTCGGCGGTTCCGAGCTTCTGGATCCAATGCGGGTGGTACAAATTCCGGGTCGACTGAACGATACTCGACTTGTCCATTGTTGTTTAGGACCAAGCGAGGACCAGGCGCGTCGGTATTGCCTCCCCAGGGCGAGGGATATTGCTGTAGAGCCAGTTGTTGGGTGTTGTTTGTTGTATCTGGTGTCGTGTCGAATGAGTGCGGTGTAGGTTCGCCGTGAACCCAGGCAGGGGTGCTGTTAACCGAGATCGCATCCGGGAACATGCCTGAAAAGTCCGGAGTTGTAGGTTCGTAGGGTGACGAAAAGAGGGACATGTTAAGGCTGTTTAGTGTGGTCTAGGTATTGTATTTTCTTTGGTTTCATTCATAGATTCCGGGGTATTTATACTTTAGATTAATAGTGGCCCGAATGAAGTGTGAAGTGATTTTGCACCTTCATGGTAGTGATGTGTGAAATGTTTTTACACTTGTCGGGTTATCGAGGTGTGAAAGGATTGTGCACCTTCATAATAGCGAGGTGTGAAAAGATTGTACACCTTCGTGTACTTGTAGGGTTGGAGCAGCTCGGTGTATTTGTGCCACCAGCTCCAAATAAGCTTTGTGGGGCACTTTGACAGGTTATTATGGCTTGATAACTTGTTGATCAAATGACGAGTTTGAAAGTGTATATGATGTTAATTTTTTATTTTTATTTTAATTTTTATTTTATTTTTTTCTTGTTTTGTTTTGTGTTATTGATTATCTTCTATTATATGTACGAGCCTTTGTCGCCTTCGCACCTTGGGATTGAGCCCCTCCGCTTCGCTACGTGTCAATCCCTAAGGTGCTTCGGCTCGGCGGCTCGCTGGGGGCTTCCCCCAGACCCCCTTTGTTGGGCAGCAAGCCCCCCAAACCCCCCGTAGCGGCCGCGTTCAAGGCTGTATCAGTGTTTTGCCGTTTGATCCTTTATCAATTCTTGCGATGTGACTAAACCCAAACCATTTACCTACCCCGATCGCCCTAAACACTATAATTCTAACAGACTAAACCCTAAACCTAAAGCTACTGAAATGACTGGATTGAATTTAGAATATAGAAAAAGTAAGTGGTTGTATCTATTAAGCTGTAACTGTTGTTAATGCTTCTCTGTGCACAATGTTTAAGGTCGAATGTGATGGTTGCGATGTTGGTGGGTCGGAAGGAAGTAGAAAAACTGTGAGAGAGTTGGGAGTGCGGACGCGGGATAATGCCACATATAGTTGGCCATGTGCGAAAGCTGGCTTAAACAGGCACAGCATTGCTCTATTGAGGGTTTGACCTTGCGACTTATTGATAGTCATTGCGAAGGCAGGGACCACAGGGAACTGATGGCGGCAGAGTTTAAATGGGAGATCATTTTCTTTCGAGTATAGACTGATGCGTGGAATATAGACGATATCACCTAGTCAACAAATAGAATGTGTTGATAAGCTAGGTATAAAATCGATCCAGAAGTAGGTAATTGTATATACCTGCAAAGTCGCCTTGAGCAATTTCTGCTTCAATAACGTGTAGTAAGAGATTTCGACATATTAACCGCGTTCCATTGCATAGGCCCTTTTGAGGATTGATGTTGCGTAGAAGCATTATTGGCTGGTGTCGTTTTAAAGAAAGTTGATGAGGAGGATAGCTATTGAGAGTGATGGTGTGAAGGTATTCTGGTGGATGAGTGGCTTCAAATGCCTCGGAGTCGACAATCTTATCAGAAGATAGATATTCGTGCGTTTCTCCAGGAAAAATTAATAATGCTACATCGTTAAGAGAGCGAATATCGTCGTTGTATGGTGCTAATATGGCACGGCTGGTCATGTAATCGCGGTCAGTGTAATTTGTATCCAAATCAGGGTAGGCGGAGCGAGCTACAGAGGCGAGACTGGAAGTGACAACGCATGATTCGGAGGGCAGGCTTATTGTCACTGCATCGGATTCAGGAATTGCGGTACCTGGCTCGCGTCCTTCACCAACACGTAAAAGATATTCAGCAAATTGCTGCAGTAGAGTGGCCGTCGTTGGATCAGGACTTTGCTGGACGCACATGTTTTCGGTGAGTCGAAGCACACGGACAATGTTGTTGACAAAGAGGTAGGATTTGATCAAGGAAGCATCGATAATATCAGCCTTGTTGCCATTGGGAACTATAGGCAGTGTTTGTCTAAAGTCACCGCCAATGACAACAGTTTTTCCTCCAAAAGGAATGCGTTCCAAGCGACGATCAGTAACACCCATGATCTCTCTTAAAAGTCGATCAACTGTCTCGAAACCGAATCTGTGGCACATTGGTGCTTCATCCCAGATGATGAGCTTGGCCTGTCTAAGTATCTGTGCTTGTGGACTGCGGATCCGAACCGTGCTGATGGTATTGGCAGCCAAATCCAAAGGAAGCCCAAAACGACTATGTGCTGTACGACCACCTTGCAGCAACGTTGCAGCAATACCGGAAGAGGCGACAGGAATGGCAATTTCGCCATCCGATCTAACTTTTGCCAGTAAAGCGCTGTAAACGAACGTCTTTCCGGTGCCACCTTGTCCATCCAGAAAAAAAACTCGACCTTGCTCTGGCGTTACTGCTTCTGGATCTTCACCTTCTTCAATGGATTGCACAACAGCGTTGTAAGCATCTCTCTGAGCATCATTGAAACTATCTTGAGAGCGCTGTACTATGCCTCGCAGTTGAACGCGATTATACCGTGTTTCTTGCTGTAAGAGGCGGTCGTAGGTGTATTGGTGATTTCCCTCTTGTAAGGCAGGCAATTGCGGCATGTCAGTAAATTCGATCAAGGAGCGGCCGTACTGGGGAAGCAATGCTGCTAATTCCTCCAAGGCTCGTAATCTTGCTGCAGTAATATCCTCCTCTAAAAGCTCCACATGCTGCTGGCCATTTTCAGCCTGTAATTGGCGACGTCGATTCTCGAGGAAATCAGCAGCAATATCGTCAGTATATCTTTCCCAAAGCTCGCCAGGCGTCAGGATATCGCAGAATGCCAGGATGACGGCAAAGAGATCACGGAGCCGTGACGCGGATGTGGTGACCTCAACAGCTTCTCCAAAACACCTATTCCACTCATCGTCGTCTTGTAACAATCCGCGTGCCTGTGCAGCAGCCTTAAACGTGGGATATACTGTGCCTTCAAAAGTGCGGATATCCTCAAAACTGGTGGCGCCCAGAACGTACAACAACAATAGCCTCAAGCTATATTTCTCTAGGTCACGTGGCTGTACAAAGTACAATCGAGAGACTGGTGCCACACCACGGTTATGCATTCGTCCACGGCGATACCATCCACGCTGTCTGCTGTGCGTATATGCCGAGTAGATGTCGACATATAAGTATTGTCGTGCGTCAGGGTCGCGCTGGTTCAACGCAAACCAATCTACCAACGTCGAGCTCCGGTTGCGTGCTGCGCGTTGCAAGTCTCGAACATCGGCATCAGCTTCAAAGTACACGTTCTCTTCTGATGGCAAATGGATATCTAAGCGCTTTACTGCTGGAAAATGACTCTGCATATCCTTCTCGAAAATGCGCCAACAACTTTCTGCTGCCGATACGTATCGTACATTCAAAAATGCATCAATCTCATCAACGTTTTCTTCATTTGCTTGCGTCACTGTCGCTGCACTTTGGGTGCCTACTGTCACCTCGGCACGGTCGGACCCTTTGTAAACGTACTTGTATAGGTACTTTACAGCTCGGTTGCTGGAGCAAATTTCGACGTTGATATGGGCGTTGTACTTTGTTGTAAGATATAAGTTGTACGGAACGACCCATCCATTTCCGACATTGTATGTTGTGCGGTTGACAATTCTTTCGATTGTGCGATCAGGCATATCACGTCGACGATATGTTATATTGCCGTTTTCATCGAATCGAGTTTCATTGGCGAATGGTTTGGGAAATCGTTTTGAGCATGATCCATTACTCATACAGATGGCGCGTGGATTGAGTAAAGAGCCACAGGGAGTATGGATCATATTGCGTGTGACAGTGGCATATGCCTGTGGATAGTGCTGGGGGTCTGGAAATTCAGCAGAAACGATGTTGTTGACATCCTCAACAGTGCGTATTTTGGAGTCATCGTGCATAATCAAAACAATGTGGACATGTGGCAAGCCGCGCTTTTGGAATTCAATTACTTGAACCCATGCGACAACATTGCCGAGCACGTTATGATCTTTGAGATCTGCCATTATTAGCTTGATCTTTTCAGAAAAAACACGGGCAATCAAGTCAGGGCGATCAGATGGCTGCTGTCCATTAGAGGCCAAGGCTTCTCTTATTTCCGGCCACTCTGGGTTGCACGTAACAGTTATAAAAAGATCCGGCTTTCCAAAATGTCGCACAATAGCCATTGCATCCTGATACAGCTGATGCATATAACTTTATAAAGAACAGAACAGAAAAAGATAACAGAGATTGATGTAAGCAATTTCATGTATAGTAACATTTTATTTTATTTTCACCATAACAAACTCTCCACAGCAAAACGCTAGCTGATTGTAATTCTAAACGATCCCAGGCACGATACTCATGTTGCTATCTTAAAGAATAACTTACCGAGGACTGCCAGTATGAGAAGATGGAAGGATAACACAACGACCCAAATTTCGAGCCAGCTCGTTATTATCTTCTCCTACATCTTGCTGGAGCGCATCAGCCATACCACTGTAAAGTTCCACGCGTAGCTGTCTTTGATGGCTGCGATAGTAATGCATACGACGGTGCTCAATCTTTGCGTACATATCGACAATGTACTGGTGCCAAAGTCGCCCATATAGATGCGCAAGAGACTCGCCACGTTCTTGGATGCGGTAGGCGTAAAATTGACGAACCGAGACAGTACCCTGACGACCATGACGCTCCCGACCTGGCTCAGCTTGAGCATGCTGATGTCCACGAAGAGGAATTCCTTCACTCCATCCATTTTCTGCATTTGGGAACATAAGGACATAATGCAGTGGATCATACAAACTACTTGTCTCATTAATCCTTTGCATCCCTCCATCACGGCGAAAGAGAACAACATCACGATAGGTAGCATCTTCGCCTGGATTGTCAACAATCAGTACAGCTATTTCGTCAGTAGTAGGAGCTGCATACTGTCTTCTGCGGTGCTGGATCCCAAAGATGCGTATCCCCAAGTTGACACCTGGTGCACCGCGCAAACGCTCAGCTGCCGTCCGAAAGGTCTGAACATGCTGATTATTTTCATCAAGTATAGCCTGCAAATCAAGCAACAATGCACGATCCAGGTTTCCATCTAATACATTGCCGAAAAAGTT